AATCAGTCAAGTCCAGGGATTTGATGGAGATGATGAGAGATTCAGTCTTCAAACAGCTACTAAATGGCTGCTGTAATGAGACAGTTCTCTCAACTTCTGCTTTCAAGGTCTAGAATGAATCTTTAAGCCCAGTGAACTCGTGTTGTGGCTGATTCCACAAAAAATCTGATCCTGTGAGGTCCTCGGGTAATAACATTGACCCGTTATGAACACAGCTGTATTAGGAGTCTGTTGAATGGAATCAAACACTAGACATCGATCTCTGTCATCTCCAGGTTTTGTGGATCATACCATTCGAGTGGCTGCGCTGGACACTGATCCTGGTTGCCATGGTGATCTCTGGCTCAGTCCTCGTGCTCACCTTCTGGCCCGTCGTCCGCGACGACACCAAGGTGATGGCAGTGGCCACGGTGGCGACCATCGTGGTTTTGCACACGCTGCTGGCGGTCGGCTGCAAGGTCAGTGAGCTGCTGCCGGGGCGCCGCCTCACATCTACGGAACACGTTTAACCTCCACCGAGTACTGAGTCGCTTCTCTGTCCTTTCAGCTCTACTTCTTCCAGACAGCAGTCCACATACCGCCACCTACAAGTCCCCCGATTCATGTGACACTGACCACCAAACCCCACTGACCGATACAGAGGAGGGAGGGGAGCTGGCAGGGAGAGGAGAAGTGAAGGCCATCTGTTATGTCTGGAATCACATGCAGATATAAACCAAGTACAAACATTCTGCTTGAGGCAATGTTAATTATTGCCGTCGTGTGATTGGTTGTATGCTTCCGTGGTGAAGCGCTGAGGTGAGTGTGTGTGTGGCTGTTTGTGTAATTTATCCCGAGGTGGTTCGACTGCGACTGAAGTAGCACTTGTTCAGTAAATTAACTACGTTTCTACTGTGATGTTTCAGAATGTAGTGCATCCAGAAGGTCCAGCACGGCTTCCTTAACACTGTGATGTCAGTCAGTTTAGTGAGAAACACAGACGCGCAAGTAACAGCAAAAGAAAACAAAAAGCAAGCACATCATAAAACCATTCCTTCCTATGACACATCATGTGGAGTTTTTCAGCTTAAAAACTAACTTCATCGTAGGTTTGGCACAGGAAGTTCTCTAAATCTGCTGAAACTAAAATGCTTGTGTTGCATGTGGGATGTTTGCAAAGCAGCGCAAACTCAATTCTGTAGACAGCAAAACAGGGACTGCGGCATGTACAGTAGTTATTTTCAGAATTGCTATTTTTTCAATTAATTGCTCAGTTAGTAAAACAAAGAAAGCACTCGTCATAATACCATCAAAACCTGGTAAAGAAAGGACGGCACTTTTAAGTGAGCCGCCCGTCTCCAGCGTGCGTATTGGGAGATTTACAATCAATGGACACAAGTGAAGGTATTTATCCAGTTGTCCCAGCAGGGGACTCTGTGAACATACGTGTTCTATTTGTAATCATAAATCGTGGGTCGCTCGGCTTTTTAACGGTTACAGCTGTAGGTATTGAGAGTCAGCCGTCTGAACACACTCCCTTGGTTCCCTCATTTCGATGGGTTGAAGAATGTTTTATTTATGAAGTGCATGTAATATGTAGTGTTAGTTTTTATGTTTTACTTTGCAAACTGTTTCACTTTTAAGTATTCCTGTGACGTGGGCTCCCCCTGCTGGGACAGACCGAACTGGATCTCTGTAATTAACTTCACTTGTGTCTACTGATTGTGAATTTGCCAACACACACACCAAGGAAAAGCCATTTTTGAATGCTGTCCTAGTCTCTGCAATGTATAAAAATATCAGAAAACTGTGGAGTATCACAACTTCTCAAAGCCCAAAGTGACCTCTTAACCAAAAGATGTCAAACGTACAACTACAGAAATCAAAGAATAGCATAAAGGTCTCTTACTCTTGTCTGTAAGGTCTGTCCACACAACTGGGAACCTGTTACACTAGGAAAAAAGCAAAGGGGTAAACACTACCAATGGATCTGTTCTATTGAAGCGTCCCAGTGAGCCAACACAGAATCAGTTTTCAGCTGCTATTTTCTCATCATCCTGTTCAAAAATGTAAACCAAGGAGGTCAAGTGAGGGAATTCTGTCCACCTCAGCCCCTGTGGTGGAAACACTGGAGCAAATGGACATTTCTGTTTTTTTTCCCCCTTTTGAGCGAGTAAAGAAGTTACTGCGACACGTCAAGTCACCTGATCTCAAACTGTTGTGATCCTCTAAACTCTCATCTAACACCAGAACATGTCAAATCATCTAATGCTTACCTGCAAAACCAAACCACTGTTAACATACGAACATTGTACCTGCTAAAAATCAGCACGCTCTGCTAATGCTAGCACACTGACATCAGCTCAGTTTGGCTGTAGATTAACAACATGTATTAAACTATTGGCGAGACGTCAATCTTGAATCTGCATGTCGGAAAGCAGAACATACTCGACTTATCTATGGTTTGGGATCAAAAAGCCTTGTGGTGATCCCAGCAAGCTTGTTGCATCAGTCACATGTGAAGGAAGCCATTCCAGACTGAGGTACATGGAGGCGAATGTGAACGAACTAAGAACTCGTGTCGATGCACCACATCACCTGCTCTCCTCCTCCTCCTTCCCTTCCTGAACAACTTCAGTCGCTTTGTCTGAATAGATGATTTATTGTAAAGTGAGGAAAAGGTTTATGTCTACAGAACTATTTATTCCCTGATGTGATGCGATTTAGGGTTTTTGTTAATAAAACTTAGAATCTTTACTCCCTCATGTTTGTTTGTGTCATTACATGGCTCTGTGGTGTTTCCTGTGTGATTTCAAACACTTCAGCGAATTGAAAGAGCGGCACCTTGCCCGTGAAGACTTACAGAACCAAGCAGCGACCTCTGGAGCTGAAAAATGAAGCCACAGTGGACGTGGCACAAACTGCAGTTCCTCAAGTGTCCACTAGACTCCAGATGCAAGTCGATCCCCATAGAGCCCCATGTTAAAATGCTCAACTTTACAGCAGAAATAAACAGGTTTACAGCCTGGTGCACAGATGTTTTTGGCTCCTATAGCTAATATCCCTCATCATGACAACTGTACAGAGCTGAATTTCTATATATCACACCTGTTTATATTGTATAAAGGATTAAAGTTGTGCATAATTAAGAGTGTGGCTGCTCTGAGTGACAGGTGCTAGTATGGGAACGTCCATAACCAGCTTCACTAAGGCTCCACCTCTCTTCTTTTTCTTTTTTGCATTCGCCACGACTAAAGACGAGTCCAGCACCCACGCACTGCATATAAACGATTTAGCTATTAAATTTTCGCCCGCTGGGATGTGGAGTGACGCTTTGAACCCTCTAGTTTGGCATTTGGTTGGATGTGACTGACAGCTTTCATGGCGATGCAGTACACGTAAGATCTGTCAATCACAAATTAGCCCCGCCCTAAAACATACCCTGCTGTGTAGTCCAATTTTCTCTAAATCTAAACTAATTAAGACAACATACTTTCTTAGACTTCTGTACAATCTGATCCAGTTTATTAACCATTAGAAAGAATGTTTAAGATCCTTCTGTGCTGGCTTCACATTTAAGACCCGTCCATTTTTATATCCAGTCTATGGAGCCACAACACTTGGCTTCAAAACCTCAGAGGATTCGTCCATTTTTCTCTATAGTCTATAAACTTAGTTTGGACTTGGCCACAAGGGGTGAAAAATAACCCTTGACTCTGACTTAGCTTTGATTTGTTTTAACTGACCGGAGACGTGACACAGTCTCGACTGCCTTCAGACACGGACTTGTCTTTTTGGCTGGCTGCAAACTTGTTGTGAACTTACCCGACCTGAGACTTGACCTGGACTCGTTTCGACTCACTTAAGAGGCTCAGAATGTACAGAATCAAACTGACATTCAAGCCAAATTCTTCACCAACAAACTAAACCCTTTTGGAAACGAAGGCTCCAAGCTTCACGGTTGCATTACGGCGCTGACTTCATCTTTTGTCATCTACACGAGAGGAGGCTTCTGCTGACTCAGTCGGCCTCGTGATCATCTTAACTCCTACTACATCTGAGTCAGAGAGGAGCCTTCCCACTTTAAGAGGAAAAAATAACTCCAGGCAGAGAAACAGATGAAACAGGCTGCTCCAGCAATAACAGAGCTCTGAAGGAAGACGTATGTAGTGTTGTGTCTTTATTGCACAAAATGAAGACATGGGACCTGACTTACTTGAGACCGACTCTCTTAAGGGGGGGAACATCCTGGAACAATACAAAATACATAAATAAGGAAGGAAGAAAAAAGGTCCCTCAGTAGTCTGATACTTTGCACTGAGGGAGAATAATCACAGCTATGTACAGATATTATGCACAGTATTTTTTTTAAAACCTGAAAGACTCGTAGCTGACTCGTGGTTGACTCAACAGACAATTTGTGCAAAAGAAAAAAAATCCAAAGTGTGTCAGTTGTACCTGGGGCTGGAAATGTAGGCCAGCACTCAGCGAGGTTACCTTCATCTGCTGCGTAAGCATCTCTTCCCTCGGCTGAAGCGGAGCTAACTTTCAAAAAAATCCCCAAGGGCTCCCATCAAGACCCAGCTGAACGTCCCAGAGATAACACCCACTGACCCACTAAGACTGCCTTTCACTCGCTTTACTGCAAGGGGAGGGAAGCGAAAGACGAATCGTTAACGTGATGTGTTCTCAGCGCGTCGATCTCAAGTCTCATCAGCTCCAATACGTTATTTAACGAGGCCCTGATCCCAATTCAGCTCACGTTTCCGTTCAAACTCATCTAGTTTGTCTCGTTTGTCTCGGGCTCCTTCATCTAAATTCAAAACGCATTCCCGGCGTCAAACATCACTGGAAACAGCTGCCGGAGTTCATTAAAAGAAACATTAAAATTAAACTGAAGCATTTACATACACAACACCCAGCATCAACAACTGTTAAGTACCGAAAGCTGGCATCAGCCTGATGTGATTCATCGTCATGTTTACATAGTCTGTCATCAGGCGGCTCCCGCTTGAAATCTGGCATTTGAGACTTGTTTAATTTCAGCTTGTTCTTGCACAGCTGCTTGTGTTTTAGTCCCTTTTTTATTTTATTTTAAAAACAGTTACCTTTGGACGTAGCCAGGCTGTTACTCTGTTTTTAGGATTCACACCAACTGTTGGCTTCGTGTTCAGACAAAGGTGTGGATCCCAAAATATCACAGCATCGTTACAGAACTGGTAACAAAACTCAAATATTACATCAGTGTTTGTCTTGTACAATTTTTTTTGCAATACACCCGGACGTGGAATTAGGTTTTGACCATCATCAAGGCAAAGTTGTTCACCTGTGTTTTGGTTTACTGGCGAAACAATCCTATCAGCTGCAATGTCCTCGATACCGACGGTAACACGTCACCATATTTGTGTATCTGAAGAGGACAAAGTACCCCCCAGAAAGGCAAAGAGCAAGAATTATGTGTTCATTTACTAAGACTACTTAACTCTCAGCCACTAATTTGATAATCGCCACCACCAGGACTCATTAAGTAGTGACTCTAGCAGGTCGACTTGGTTGTGGGAATCCATTCAGGCAGCCTGTTTAAAAGCATCGATATGGAGAAGAAAGTGATATATTGCATTACTGATATGGTCTCCCAGCCCTGCTAGTTCCTGCACCCTGAGCTGTAGCTGCACAGATACAAGGCTGTAGTACTATTAGGTAGGTTAGATAACCAGAGGATCTGAGGCTGACTGCACACTGTAGCCATGTGATGCTGCTGCTGTGCTTCTGTTGCCGTGATTCTGGTTTAGTTTATATTATTATAATTAACTATCTACTGTGTTGGTAGCAGTGTAGGGCTAACAACACATTTGTCTGTCACACTGTCCTGTTTGTAAATTCAGTAATCCCATTACAGTTCCTGAGTACTTTTATTTTGAAGCTGCACAGCCCACTGACACTCTGATTCTCTTGGATGTTCAACTCAGCCCAGTTCTCTGCTCATCTGTGCAGCCGCTCTTTAGGCTGGTTTTCACCAACTCTCCACTTGGCTTTGTTTTAGTTCCTTAATAAAGAGGTTTTCAGATCCTGTGTATGTCATTAAACCGGGGATTTGTGCTCATGTGTGGGCATATGCAAGGTTTAACAGAAGTAAAACAAACTCCTCTCTGCAACGAGTAACGCGTAATACGTTACTGCTTGGTAACATCTGCTTTAGTTTCACATAGTTCAAGTGCAGCTACGCATATCCATAGCGCCAAAGATTAAACCGTAAATACCATCGAAATGTGAGCAATTATCAAATGAGCAGGCACAGCTTGAGCCATCGGAGCCAGATGGAGCCGCTGCAGCTGTGCTCACAGTCAGTAGCTGCACACATTTAGAGATCGGCTTTTTAAATTCAGTAATGAGCAATAAATATAACCATGTAAAGTGTCACATCAACACCCTGTTTTCTAGAATCTGCACTGTGGCCTTAAGCTGACGCTATATCATAGCTGGGCTGGACGGAAAAAAAAAAACTGTTCCTGGGTCACGGAAAGCAAAAAAATCATTGTGACCGAATGTGAGGCAGCAAAAACTTATTTGAGGGGATAGAAGTTAATGCGACAGAAAGAAAACTTGTTGAGGGAACACAAAACTTAATTCGAGAGATGTAAAAGCTGCTGAGAAGAAACGCGACAATTACTGAGAGGGAACGAAAAACTTAATGCGAGAGAAGGAAAACTGTCTGAGAGGAGAATTCAAAACGTAACGAGAGGGAACAAAAACACCTCAATAGAGAATGAAAAACATCATGTGAGGGAACGTAGAACTTGTGTAAAAAAAAACCTGAAGGAACAAAAACTTTGCTGAGGGAACACAAAACCTGATACGAGGTAATGTCAGACTGAGGGAAACGATATACAAAGTTACTGAGAGGGAACGGAAAACATATTGCGAGAGGAGGAGAATTTAAGGGAACTAAAAACTAAAGGAAAGCAAAATTTAATGCGAGACAAAGAGGGAATGCAAAACGTATCGAGAGGGAAGGTAAACTTATTGAAAGGAAACCAAAAATGTAATTCAAGGGAACACAAAACCTAATGTTAGGGAAAACATTTTGAGAGGGAACTGAAAACAACACGAGGGAACAAAAAAACTTCTTAAAAGAGAACGAAAAAACGTAATGCGATCGACCGAAAGACTGACTGTTATAGAAAAAAAAAACTTATGGGAACAAAAAACTTTTTATGAGAGAAGGAAAACTTGAAGAAGTAAAAAAACGTAACGCAAGGGAAGGGAAATTTGTTGAGGGAACACAAAATGTGATACGAGGTAATGCCAAACTTAAGGAAAAGACAAAACTTACTGAGAGGGAACATGAAACATGTTACGAGGGAAGGAGAATTTGAGGGAACTTAAAACTTTATGCGAAAGGAAAGCAAAGTTTAATACGAGACAAAGAGGGAATGCAAAACTTGTAGAGGGAAGCTAAACTGAAAGGAAATAGAAAATTTAATACCAGGGAACACAGAACCTAATATGAAAGGGAAAACAGTTTGAGAGGGAACAAAACATATCGTGTGACGCAAAACATATTTAGAACGAAAAACGTTAATGTGAGAGATTATGAAACTTTCTGAGAGGGAACCAAACACTAATCGTAGAAGTACGAAAGCGTATTGACAGAGAAGGAACAGCGTAAAGGAATACCAAACTTAGGCTCGGCTGTACTTTGCATTTTTCTGCTAATTAGCAAACATTAGCATGCTAACACTCCAAGATGTCATTTTTTGGTGCTAGCATTAGCATTTAGCCCAAAGTGCAGCTGTGCCTGAGACAGCATCTGGTATGGCTCAAATATTTAAGCGTATCGACTGTCTGGGAGGTCTCTGGTGGCGTTTGATTTTGTCCGAACATGTTAAGAAATGCCAAACTTAGACTCGGCTGTACTTTGCTTTTTACTGCTAATTAGCAAACGTTAGCATATTAACACTCCAAGACGTCTATTGTGGTGCTAGCATTAGCATTTAGCCGTGCCTGAGACAGCATCTGGTATGGCTCAAACTTTTAAGCGACTGTTTTGGAAGACGCTGGTAGCGTTCGTTGTTGTCCGAACATGTCAACATGTCAAGATGCGAACTGCTCGGCCAACGTCAATCCACAGCAACACCGAATGGACCTCGAAGTACCTGTAATCTGCATCTAGAACCACCTGCTGAGCCACATCCAAGAAGTCGTTCCCAAAAGCACATAAAGAAACCAAAGCAGGAACAGTGACGATAATTAGGTTTTGGTAAAGCCGTTGTTTGTGTCCAGACATCTTATCGTGAAAAATAAAGTTTCACACAACATAATCTTGCGCGCACCTTAAATGCGAGCCTTAAAAAAATGGCTTTATTACACTTCTAATTCTATCACTATTATATCATCAATCACCATCTATTTAGGGGTTGTGTCCACTTGTTCCTGTATATTTAAAGGTTTGTCCTGTAATTAAAGGTTTACAGCTGCTTGCTCTGACATCAGCAACTAAAGCGGAGCAGCGCTAATCGGCCGACGCCGTCAAGATGTGCAACTGCTGCAAGAACTCCTAAGTTCGGTGCCGAGAAAAGGCTCACCGGAGTCTTCAGGACAGAGACGCTGTCTGTCTGTGTCTGAAGCAGAAGAATCAGTGTCAGACGAGTGAGAAAGGTGTTATTACTGGTTGGTAAACACACAGAAATGACAGAACATGACACACAGTCTTCCTCATACACTTTTCCATGATCAAAGTGGATGCCACTATTCGACTACACAGCAATGATTCCATGACAACAACAAAAAAAAAAGGGGGGGGACATGATGTGCTAAAGGCTAGCTACCACATGGTAAACATCTGGTGTGTCCACAGTCTATTTAACAAACTAGAGGGAACAAATTAAAAGCACTACAACACTTGATTCCAGGATGGGTTTTTTTGGAACAACTCTGCCACATTTAATTTGCTCTCTCTCTTTTTTTTTTAATTGTTTGTTTTTTTTTTGTGAAAGAAAAAAATAAAGACAACAAAAAAAGGTTAATCCTACAAAGAGACATGTTTTTTTTTTTTGTTTTTTTTCCATCAGCTCTCTTACAACTTGCTAACTCATAAATTCCAATAGTTGTGACACTGGAAGCAATGCATAAATGTGTCAGTCTTTCTTTCTTTCCTTGACTGATAAAAAAGGGACGAGGGCGTTGGGGTGTGTTGGAGGGGGTGGGGGGAGGCAATGATATGTTGGAGGTCATACATAGTGAACAGACGAGGAGGGAGGAGGGTGGACAGGCCCCCTCCCCCCGTCTCCCACGCCTCGACATCGAAGTCTCTTTGCGACAGTCTCACAGTCTCAAGAGGAGGTTTGGGAGGAGAAGCAGAGGGGAAGGATGTAAACTAGGACGCTGCCAATCCAGCACAGCTTTTTCTCTTTCCGGCAACCAGCTGGCTGCCTCCTGGGTCATTGGTCCTTACTGGTTTCGAATCTGCCTCCTTCCAACTGTGCCGGAGCAATCTGGCTCAACAAATGAGTGGATGGAGAGGAGCTGCTGCAGTGTCCTCTCAGCTTCAAAAGAAAAAAACGGCTATCGGGGCAGGGGGGGAAGAAACCGGGGTGCAGCAGAAGGTGCGTTTCATGTTTCACGTTAACTGAAGTGTTCAAGTTTTTACCAGTCTGTCCTTTTGGTCACCTTCCATGTTGAGAGCATCGTTTAAATCATCCACGAGTCTCCTAACGGTTCGGCCCGTTTCTTCCTAAAGGCCTCCGGATCGTCGAACAGCAGCCGAGTCTGACAATTTGCGTAACTTTCACAAAGTCAGACAAATGCTTTGACTCGACAGAAATGCGCACGTCGTGTAAACGTGTAAGGTTTCGCTCTAAAACTCCCTTTAATTTTTACGAACAAAACTTCTAATCACCTTTTAAGTACAAGTGCAACGAGTAAAACGCTTTTTAAGTGTTGTGCAACAAAAAACTGACGACAAAAACCCAGAGTTCTTGCAGGCAGATCAGGAAGGAGTTTAACGGCTACAAACGCTTTCCTCCAAACGGGATCCTTCGATGTATCGCGCAACAGACTTTGAAGATTTCTGAGGCCTTAACTCTGCCTACAAAGTAAGAGATTTAGGACCTGCAGCAGCTTTAAACTGTCCAGCGTCACAGGAAACATGTTTATTTGCCATCAAACTCAAGTCGGATTAAAATTCTCTTTTATTATTATTCATTTCAATGTTTGAACTCGGGGCTAAAACTGGAGGCCGGGCAGAAATTTCAGCCTTTCACCCTGGTTGTGCAACTTGTTTATAACTTGAGCTAATTTGGATGTTGCTAAAAGATGCTAGGACGTGGAACTTTTTTAGCATCTTTAGCTCACTGTTCTGGTTTACTGGCCCACGAATGTGCTTGTTTTGGTTCACTGGCATCAAAACAGTTCTAGTAAAATTACTCTAATAAACCCACGGTATACTACACACTTAGCAAAAAACACAAAACAAAACAGACAACGCTAGCAGCTACCATGTGAACATAGCGCGGCTTAATTTTTTTAGTAACTGTACTGTTGGGTTCACAGATGGTTTTCCTGGCCACAAGTGGTCAGGAATATAAATTCACGCAGCTTTAAAACGACAGATTAACTTCTCCTATACGCAACGCTCTAACTACGGTAAAGTGCGCTAACGTGCTAGCATGAAGGAGCAGCTAGCTTCGACACTGGCAGTCAATGTAGTGTATGCTGAGACATTAACCAACAGGACTGGAACCTACAACAGAGACATAGTGCCTATTTATTTCTTTGCCCAACATGGAAGGTGACCGGCGCGTTGTTCTCCCAAAACTTTATGTGAACTTCAGAGGAATACAGCAACACCGATGCGTCCAAGCAGAAACCACTTATTGGCTAAAGAGTAGAACTTACAGGTCCGTGGAAGTGGGAAAAAAAAAAGCACATTTTCCTTGGGGTGCCAAGTCATGTAGATGGTTTCAGTTTGTGATATATCTGCCTCTTCCTAAAACCAACCTGCATGAGTAAACTGACGAAGATAACGCAGGGAAAATATGTTTTTCTTTGTTTGTTTTTTTAGTGATGTGAAGGAACTGTTTTGTCTGGCGTGAGTCAGTCTCTTGAGAGAAGTGCGGAGGAGCCTTGAAGGTTGGATCTGATATGAAAAGCCAAGGTGGCAGCCCGGGGATGAGCACTGATGATGATGATGATGATGATGATGATGATGATAATAGTGTCCTGCTGTACAACTGAAAAGCTTCAGCGTCGCTCTGCTGCGGAGGTGTGGAGAATCGTGGGAACGGACTGATGCTGGTTTCTGGCAATTCATAGGAAAGGACAAACACTTTGAGGGTCATGACACCAAAAAAAAAAAAAAAACGGAGAAAGGTTGGCGAGCGGAGGGACCGAGATACAGTTTGAGGGAGGAGAGGTGGGGAGCCAGGGAGGTGGGGCGACAGCTGCTGTGCATCTCAGACGTGGTACAGTCTCAATGAATCCGAGGGGAGGGGGGGCGAAAGGAGGCTTCAGCTTTCAGCAAGACAAGAGTCTGGACGGATACGAGAGCGTTCGACCGTTCATCTAGTGATGGACTGAACAGAGTAGAAAGAAGGTGACGAACGAAGAGAAGAAGTGCCAGCACAGCACTGGTTTTGGTATACTGGTTTTGGCTGCGGTTGGTGGATCAGTCAGGGCTGGAGGGCAGGGAGGGGGGGGTCGGGGATCTCTTGTCATGCGGGGGCACGGGAGGTCAAATAGGTCTTTGCAAGGTCTTCGTCTTAACTGCCGTAATGCATGGTGTTGCTGGGGATGACCATCGGTGAGGCCATGGAGATGGCAGCACCCCCCATGGTGAACTGGTTGGTGACGGGATAGTAAGTACCGCTGCTGCTGGGGCCTGACTGGCCCGTAGTGGCTCCTGCAAGACAGAACAGAGCATTGAATTCCCACAGTGAACTTCTGTTAGGTGATAAACACTGATTTGATTGTGTCTGCACAGGTGGACTCACCCTGGACAATTCCTGTGCTCATGATGGAGCCCATCCTGGAGTGGGTGTGGTTTACAATCCCTGTGTTCACTGTGACCAATCAGAGAGGAGAGCACAGTCAAGGATTTGTATCGGTACAACAGATGTTAGCATCTGTCGGTTGCTACAATGTACCGAGCAGATGCTACAAAGGATCTGTCAGATGTCAACCAATCAGAGGGCAGACTGTCTTCAGTGTGTGCCTTCTGATTGGTTGAGAGAAAATTAGAGTTTTTTCCATTGCAAAACATTGCAGACTGTAAGAAGCTCAAATAGCTGTTAAATGGGAAAAATAAAGATGATGTGTAAGCACTGATTGGAGCTGCAAGGGGATAAACTGAGTTCTAAATGTCAGCTGAACTGAAGATGGACAAAGAAATTAGTGGCTTTTTAAGTGTATGAAACGAGTGAAGTGAAAGTAGTGAAAGCAGCTGAAGAAAATTCAGCGTGAATGGTGACGGGTGGAAAAGCTTTTTGTAGGTGAAGACCTGAGACCGGATAGTCAGCGATGTGAGCAACGAGCGGGAAGACGAGTGCCATGAAGTGATTAAAGCAGCTGAAATGTCATTTGAAAGCAGCTGATGAGATGAACGGCAGTGAAAGTTAAAGAAGAAAAACTTCTCGCTGTAACATGTTATTACTACATGAGGTGCTGCGATTCGTACCCAAGGGGATGAGGTTGTTGTGAGACACTGACGGGCCGCTGCCGATGACTGTGCTGAGGTCATAAGCTGCTGGCATCCCTGGAGGCGGAGAGACGGGAAAACAAAGCAATCAACATTTACTACAAACTGACAACTATCCTCATTATACACAGCTCTTCTCAACGCAGGGCCTGCTGGGGTCAACAGCAGCGTTAGCAGTGATAAGGAAGGAGGGAGGGAAGGAGGGCATTCTCCACGGGCAGGAATCAGGAGGCTACTTCTACACAAACACACACATATACACACACACAGCCCTCACCAAGACATTACACTGAATCACAATATGCTGTTAGTTGCAGAACAGATTTAATATCAGAAAGCAAAGAGGTCTGTAAGTAGGTTTGTCATTCATCTGTGTTTTCCATTTCAAAGCTTGATTGGATTGTAAACTTAGATATCCGCCATCAAATACCCATCGAGAGGAAAAGATTTGCTCGGAATGATGGTTTATAGAAGAAATAAGAAAGGCAGAGCGGACACATGTTTCTGTGCAGTCACTGGATTTAGTTCAAACTTCCACAATAAATAACCAATTTGCAAAATAACAAGCGGTTAATGAGAACCTATATCGCTCCATGCATGCTACACAAACAACCAAGCAGTGCATTCAATATGAGAGAAGATGATCACAATTCAAAACAATTGGTAAATTAAAAAAAGCTGGAATTTGGAATGTATGCAGTAAATCTGACGAGATGTTTCTCAGTAGTAGCAGCAGCATTACTCAACATGATTGCAGAGATTGCGCAATATTTTGATTAGGCGCATCACAACATGAAAATACTGTGGCCAACAGAATTCAAAATATTGGCATTACAACGACAGAAACAGCCCTGATTTAGACGCTGCTGCTGATTCATGGGTGAAATATGGCTTCTTTTTTTTTTTTTAATTACTAAACACATTGTTGGAATCAATTCATATCTTTAGGTTATCATCATGGCATTAGAAAAATAAATACTCTGATGGTATCTCATGTGATGGGACTCCATCATGGTTTAAACCTACTACACACTGAACAGAAGCTTGACTTTAAGAAATATATTTCAAATCAAACTGCAGTATCTGACAGAAGAAAATGCAGTTTGATGACAGTCCTGACTTGTTTAGTTCTGATGGAGGAAGTCGTCGTCGATGAAAAAGTTGTGTTATCAAACAAAGTGATGCGTTTTGTCTCTGATGTTGATAGTTATGAGGATCCCTTGTGCCAGCAGTGGTTAAAACACTCAGTAAAAATTAAAACTGCATTAAAGGGAAAATTCAAAGACTTTCAAAAGATGTGAATACCATATATGGACTTTGTAAAATAGGAATGGGCAGCATACAGCTATGGACACAATGACTACACTGCTTCATCGTTTCTTTGTCCGATTTGCTTAAGCACTCCTCTATTAAATAATTTACTTGTCTGCTTTTCTTAAGCGGCCTCTTTACTCATCTATGTGTAACTATCCATCGGTATCACACAAACAGATACACACAGAGTGAAGGAACGGCAAGTTAGAACAAAACAAAGAATCAGAATCAGTCATCAGATTTTTGTAGTGGCGGGCCACTCCTGTGAACATAAATCTGTCATGAATCAGATGTTGGTTGGTTTAATTGTAAATACACAGATCACAGCTCTAGCAGTGACGTTATTTATTTTCTCATCAGCCCTGACTGAGGGCATCAAGCTCCAGCCTCGGGCCTAACGCCAACTCATGACGACTTCGTGTTCTTACCTGAAAACATCCTTCCTTTATTTATGCTTAAAACCTACTGGGAAAATGTGCTACCACGATTGAGATTTCCTGACTTATAAATCCCCATTTGATACATTTCTAACAGAAGCTGGGTGCCTCTTGTGAACAGGCGGCGGGTATGTTTCATCTACCAGTGTCTCCGTGTGTGTTCACCTGATACAGCCATCCCCTGACTCATGCTGTAGGCCGCCCCTGTGTTCCACATGTTCTCGGATGGGGAGGTGTAGTGTGAGCCAGGAGGAGGGTTGGGGGTGGTGCCTGTGTACCTGCAAATACATATGCACACACACGTTGGACGCACAGAAGACAGACCGTGCTCCCACCTCGTACTGTGTGGACCGTGTGACGCAGGATTCGGGTTTACGAAAGAAATCAACTCACCTGAAAAAGGGGTTCTTCAAGTCCAGGAGGTTGCTGGACTTTGATCCTGTCTGGTCCACCTGGGCAACAACACTGATGTCGTAGCTTTGTCTGTTGGGGAGGAGATGATTTGACAGATTAATACCGATGACACAATGCATGACAAGAAACTCAACGCCACTTTAATGTCTGTCCAGTAAAAATGCAGCCGCTCAGCGTCACCTTGCTCCGACCGACGGTCACTAAATCCATTTACCAGAACCTCTAAAGCTCACCGATTAACAAATCACATCCCATTTGTTTAATCCCTAAATAAAAACCACCTGGGATGCAAGTATACGAGTGTGTAAATATACACAACACCTCCAAAAAAACACCACCAAATCCCACATCCATTAGTGTGTGTCACTGAGTGTATTATTACATTATATTGCGAAATGAGTGCAGGCCCTGTTGGTTTGAGATGTCACTTATGTAACTGCTTAAGCTGGGTTTATGCTCCTGTTGCTGATATGTACGTGGACGTGTCGTTGTTTTGAATTATATCGCTTCCTCGATGCATTCCAGACATGTACAGTAGAGCTGCATCTACATCAGGGGTGGGCAATCCTGGTCCTTGTGGGCCACAATCCTGCATGTTTTAGATGTTTCCTTTTTCCAACACACCTGATTCAGGCTTCTGCAGAGCTTAATGATGAGCTGATCATTTGAATCAGGTTTGTTGGAAGAAGGAAACATCTAAAACATGCAGGATTGTGGCCCTCGAGGACCAGGATTGGAGACCCCTGATCTACATACTCCGCACATACACACTATCATTATAGCGATGCGTGCATGTGGAAAGTCCAACACATATTTTAGGCTACACGTTAACGTCCGCAGGAGTCCAGACAGACTTGTGCGACTTGGAAAAATCCTGAAAATTTGAGCCACTCTGTCCTGAGCGTGTGGGCGTACAAAGCATAACACTTGTCCCGTAATGATTCACATGATAAAACCGAGTCTGTCTTAATGAAAAATGCATGACATGACGAACAAATTTTTTAAAAAGCCATCATCAACAACAGCCAAGTTCTTCCCTCATCTACCTGAAACCATAACAGACGTGTCTACATCAAACACCACAATAAAAGGACAGAGTTCGCTGCTGTGCTACCTAACAACGCTACAAACACTAGAATCGGAACAACAGGGGCTCTGCAGCCAACTTAAAATATTCATGTTCTTGGTTTTATTTTTAACTTCGTAACGCTGCATGAGGGTCTGACTGAGTTCAAAGTCTTGTGAAACTAGTAAAATCACTTTCACGCAACGTTCTCCAGTCTGGTTGCCATGGGTACTAATGAAAGGAGATTGCGAGCTCGAACTGCTGAACATCTTTTAACGGTTTTTTAAGAATGTGAAAGTGTCATGATCTTGTTTGTGAGCGGCAGCCAGCTGCTGTCCCTGTAAAGCCTTGGCTAGTTTTGTTTTTGTTGCACTTTTTTTTGTGTAAGATTTCATCAATTTAATACATTTGATTCGATTGTCTTCAATTTCAGAGCCAGTAGTTTTAATTAACAGTTACCTCTTGTTGGCCACCAGCAGTGCAGTGCCGGACAGCGTGTCCCCAGCCTTGGTGAAGAGGGGAGACTGCAGCAGACAGCGCACCTGGTACCAGTGGGTGAGAGGCTCTGTGGGTGCTGTGGACAGCCATACTGTCATCCTGCATAGAAAGGAACAAGAAGGATGAGTGTGTGAGGAGAAGACAGCAGTATGGTACTAGTGAAAGAACAGTCCCAGTGCAGATATGGTGTCCATCTGGCTGACTTACACTGATCCCATAAATGCCACGTCAAACCAGAAAGCCAGGCCGTGCACCAGGCCCGAGTGCATCATGTGGAACTTAAAGGGAATCTCTATCCTGCAACCATAAGGAGAAGATTCATTAATGTATGACATTCCCACGCGTAGCCAGAATCACACGTGAAACTAGACACACACCTGTAAAGATCCTCTTCTTTGGCTTCCAGGAAATTCACTGTGTATTTGACCGACTTGGCCATCAGAATACGGATATCAAATGTGTCCTGCAGGGCAAAGCAACACAGCAACGAATTAGAAACCTTAACGAGGCGAGCAAGAGTCAGTCGGTCCTCCAGTGAAAACCCAATATGACACTCGGATTGTCATTGTGCTAACTTATCAAGTGCAGGGTGGTCAACGTACCACAATTGGCTGGCGGAAATACTCGTCCACCGCTGCCCCCCGCAGGGCAGAGAGGTCTACACCGTGGAAGGAGGGCTGGTACCTGAGGGCAGAAGAAGAAAGTCTGGGTTAGATTTCTAATCAGTTCCACTTCATGACCACAACGATATTTTTGGTGCAATCTCAGTGACGCTTTAGCAGCCAAACACTTTGAACATCGCAAGTTCTTCAGAAGCACCACGAAGCCTTTTCTCCTAATGGGAGCTGAATCATATAACAACCACACACTACTAAGAAACGTCCTTCAAACAGCATCCTGACAGAATCAGTGAATGTGCCGCCACAGATATAGGTTTTTTATGACTCAAACAAAAAAATCAAATAGTTATATGGTCAGTCGGTCAAACAAATGCAGTTATTTAGGCAGAAAGACATTCAGCTGTTTTACATTTCCCTTTTAAAGCAACAGAACAACTGATCAGGGATGTTGTCTCATCAAATTCTATTATTAGCGTACTAATGGTGGCAAAAAAAAATGACATGATAAACATCAGGTATTGTCATCAGAGCAATCAAACTTCATCATTTTTTAGAGTCAAACAGTAAAAAATACATAAGAAATAAATACATAACACACATTTTACCAGATGTAACAGATGTTCAACAGTGTAAAACAGCCCCCACTGTTACAGGATTTTTTTTTAGCCCAACGCTGATATCAACATTTGAGTTTAAAACAGTCGCTGATTATTTAACCACAAACATACAAACTAGTGGTTCTCAAACTGAGGGTCGGGACCCCCATGGGGGTCCCAAGATAATTTCAAGGGGTCGCCAGGTCATTGTTAAAAAAAAAACAAGCCTAAATTGATCAAATAAATTAGTATTAGGGCTGTCAAAAATGAAAGTGTATACTTGTTCCCCCTCCTTTTTCAGACTTGTTAATATTATGATTTGATTATGTGATATTATTCTTTTTTAAAAATGATTTTCTTTTGTTTTTATATTTTTTTCCCCCTTTCATTTGTTTGAAATAAATTCAATTCATTCATTCAAAAGAAAATTAATGTGTTAATGTAAAGAGATCAATCTGTGGAATTAACACATTAATTTTGAACGTATTAATGCATGAAAGTTATTACTCGTGATATATTACAAATTCAAACTGGGGGGGGTCACGAACACAAACTTATGTCATCTTGGGGGTCGTGGCTCAAAAAGTTTGACAACCACTGATATAAACAGTCCGGATAAAGATCCCTTAGATTTCTTTTGTTTTTTAAATTATGATTGGCTCTGAGACACTGAGCAGCATTTTGCATCTATTTCTGTGTTTTGGTCACAATGTTGACGAGTGACCCGAAACACAGTTCAGTGCTGCAGTTTCTTATCTGGAACTCATTCACTGATACCGATGCTGTAAATTTGCCGGACTTTAGAGAAACATGAACGCAGCATGCTCAGAAATAAACACTGCAAAACGATACCAGGCTGGTTGGGTTTAGGACAGAAGTCACTTCGACTACAGAGTCTGACTTAGAAGCTTTAAAAAGAAGTATGAAGAAATAAAGACCAGATTATATGAGTGACAGGCCGTGGCATTGCTTTTATGGGGTTCTACTAAGTTACCAGCGGCTGCAACTCTAACCATTAACTAAGCAAACGCAGCTACAGTGTGTTATCTGTCTCCTCTGGTTGTAAAAACGGCGTGCCCCCTCCGAAGCTGAAACATTCGCCACAGGCAGAACAGGTGAAGCTGAACAGAACTCGATACGATCTTGAGACAGTGCGTTTCTTCATTCTCAGCCGCTGAAAACGCACGCTCCCTCTTCTGCCTAAGGTTACAAACTGGCAGCCGCAACCTGGCCCTGTTTCAATATGTCACCTAGTTTATTATAGCACCGGACGCTACAGTCGCTTCACAAAACACACAAGCAGACCGACGAGGAGCGGGATGCACACCGGAACGTTACGCAACCAAACTGTTACGGCAACACACCTCTAAACGACCGCTCTCAGCAAGACTCCGAGCGCTTGTTGCATTACAACCAGCCGGCCGACCGAAGAGAAGAGCAAACCGGTTTAAAGTATAGCAGAAGAATCGCTGCCTTCACTGTGAATTCTCATCAACGGGAACATAAGAATTCAGAACGTGGGAGTTCGTCGGTGCTTTCAAGTCCTACACACTCACTGGTGCCTACTGTGAGACGATACCGAGTCATAAACCCGTGCAAGTGTCGATAAACATCTTTATACTGCGCTCCCTCCCTCATGTCGACAACCAGACTGAAGCTTTGACCTGATTTCAAAGCTGATTTGAACACAATGCAACACGCCGGAGTCAGAATCCTTTCAACAGACGCACAGCTGAGGTCGGAGGACTTTGTTGTCCACAAGACAAACTTCACAGTCGAAATGTACAAAACTGGCACATCCAGCAGGGTTAAAGAGAGTCTTTACTGAAGTGCGATGAAAGAGTTTTTAGTTTCGGATGTTTTTGCGTCCGAGATGAGACGACCGGCATCGTAAGACGGGTCAAAGTACTTAGTTTGCTCTTTGTGATAAAGTAATTCAAATGATCGGACCGGGCTGCCAATTATCTTGGATGACCTGTTGGCTATGCGCTGAGTGCGTCCAAGCTGCCGAATAGCGAGGGATGAGTCGAGCATGTTGTCAGTGACGGAAGGAGGCAGCTCTGTTTACTGTGAATGTTTGGAGCTGCGTTACGAAAGACTGCTGGGCTTTTATCATAATGCGTTCATTTTTCCCTACTGCTGACGTAGGTGCCAAGAAATGTGAACGGTTCGGTGACGATTATAGATTCTCTTGAAATGTATACAAGCGATTAGGGGAGACGGCTCTGCCTGATGGAGATGGAGGTTGTCAATAAGGCGCCAAGTGGCTGTTTGGGCTACTCACAGTGTTGTTGCCATTTTTTTCCCCCGATTATTATGTTTAAATCTAATTATGTCGCCTGCATATAGAATGTCAAATGGCTTGTGTTGATGGGAAAAAAAAGTCAGAGTGCAAGGACACGGCCCTGGTGGTATAGAGGACCGTTCATTTTAGCCCTCTGTTATCTTCTCCTGAAAATACAGTGTTGTAATGTTTGGTATAGATCTGCAGCTCTCAACCTGAGGGTCATGGACCCCCTGGGGGACAGAGGGAAGGCTCAATATGAAAGACAAGCAGTATTGTGTCTTGTGTGTACAAGTACAGTACATGAAGCACTTGTGTAACAGATTCACCGACAGATTTCTAAAACTAAGTACACATACAGCAGTTTTTTAAAAAAGTGGGCGTTTGAAATAATAAGATGCTGACGCTAAAAAAATAACTGCTGGCAGAGAACGAATAAAAAAAAAAAAAAACACGAAAGAAGGATTATGGCTTCACAGGGCTGAGATCCACAACCTCGGTGTGTGATTTGTGCTAATGTGCTGTCGAAGGAGAGTCTGAAAACCGTCAGCGATGCGAAGGCACCTGCAGACTTAACATCAGGACCTTCTTCATTATCTCTCGGTGGATTGCTAAAATTGGGAAACCACACAACTCAGGTCAGACTTTTTCCCTGCTGTGCACTAAAGAGACCGTTTCGGTTATGTGCGGGGAAACGAGCAGCCGTGCAGAGCGGCGGCAATGATCAAGAGAGACTGAGGCTATCGGTGCAGAACATACGGCGGCAGATGTGGAAGAAGCAGACTGTCACAAAGTAGAATCGAGTCCGACATGAGAGGAGACGCACACATACTGGTTTACGGCCAATTCGTTAATGGAGAACAAGTCGTTATGGATTTAGTTTTGAACAACTGTTTGGCACGTCATTGGCATATTGACTGTGTAGGAACGCTGATGCTGCAACGACCAAACAGGGGATTGGTGACAGAAGTACAGATCACTGTGTTGCTTGTGGACACACTGCAAGATAAAAAAAAAAAGAGGAGCTTTTGTGACAACACATTCAACTTCATTAAGACATTGGAGGAAAACAACACCAGTTCTCGGTCGGTTTTTGAGTTCTGAGGAGTGAAGCCTTTTCTTTTGGACACAAAAGTCTCCTCTAGCTGCTCACCCTCTTAGCCTCACTAGCTGACATTTTCAACTGTCTCAATGACCTGCCTCTGGAATAATTGAGGCCTCGTCCACACATAGCAGGGTATCTCACAAAGCGAAGATATTTTCCTACGATGTGGCCCGTCATCCACACAAAAACGATTCTTTCAAAAACCTCCGACCAAAGTGAAGATCTGCGAATCCTCCGTTAATGCGTCTGCATGTGGACGTCAATAACCGGGGGTTTAGGTTTCGAAACGTCACCGCCTGCGACAAAATATGTTCTTTACATCACACATGCGACCTGTGTTTACATTTGGAAACAGCGTGGACGCCCTCAGAACTGTGTCAAAACTTGTCCAGGCCCAGATACCGCTCCAGGTACAAGAACACAGGCGAAGGACAACGTTATTTTATTTTATTTTCCGCCACCTTGCCATTCCACGTCCGAGGCATGTTCTCCGTCAAAGACACCAACGCCGGTTTTGGGTCAGACCGGGATGCACTGCCAGCTGGTGGAAGAACTTTGAGACGGAAATCGTGCTCCAGGAGGAATGGCGTGATGATTTCCGTATGTCCCAGTCGAGTTATTACATCCTCACGTAGAATATGAATGTGCTTCACAACGTACTAATGAGGTTAGGTGTGGATGAATTCTTTTCTAAAAACGAGGTGGTGTGTGCGTTCGTTTTTTCTAGACGGAGGGGGGAGGCTATTCGGTTTTACAAAAACCCTTCTGCGTGTGGACAAGGCATCGAGAGGGAGAACAACTGGTATCAAAGTGCAGGATAGATCATTTAGAATTGAAATGTGGTTCCTACACCTACTCTTTTTCTGTCCCAGTTCCAAACACACTGACAAAACAAACACAGTCTCTTTAAATTAGAGTCTCAAACATGACCAGGGAGTTCACTAAACAATGGACAGTTTAACCAAAAGCTCTGACTTATTACTTGATTCAATATTTAAAGTTTTTTTTTAGCAGATTTGCCTAAATGTCTGATTTTTTTTTTTGCCTCCCGCTTGAACAGGAGCTCTGCACGTTCCAGAGGTTCACTGACACAGTTGGCTGCACGAGCGTGGCCTGTCACGTTACAAGGACGACTACAACAAACACAACCGTAACAAAACACCAGGTTTAACACGTACTTCAGGTCATTCGGATGGAAGATGGAGCTGCATTACACAAGCAAACAGCACAGACTTGATCTTAGAGTCATGTCGCACGCAGATCATTAAATCGTAGCAGAATCAGTCGGGGTTCCCACTCTTTCCCCTGAAATTATTTTCCAGGACTTTTCCAGGACATTTTCAGACACAAATACATTCCCCCTGTCCCCCTCATTCATTGGAAGTGTTTTCTACAGTTTACCCAGATTGTTTATTACTCAGACATTTGATGTGCAGTCTACGGCTATGATTTATCTTTGAAAATAATTATGACAAATGTATCATAGAATAATGCAAACACACCCACAGATTACAGCGTGATAATTAGCATGACAACTTAACCGTTTCCAGGACGTTTGACCTTTTTTTTCCCCTCATTTTCCATGATTGAAAAGTCGCTCAATCACTTTCCAGGTTTTCCAGGAACCCTGTCAGTGCAGTCAAACTACTAGATATGTGTATGTTGGACTCACCAAAAAAAAAAAAAAAGTCATAAGAGAGTAAAGAGAACAACTTCACACTGCAGCGCTTCCAAGTACAGCCGTGGGAGTTCAGCAATAAAACATTAAAGTAGTTGGAACACGAAACACACACAAAAAAAGTGAGAATATTACAACAGCTGTCTGCGCTGCGTTACTGCGGAGTCATATGCAGAGAAAGAGGCTCAACCTGAAGTTAGATGCAACAATGAGTAGCAAACAATGGGAGAATACGTTCTATTATAGGTCACATTACACTACGGGGGGCAGTGTTCCCTGTTGTAACCCTGTACAGATACAGAGAGCTTCATTTGGACCCTGAGGCCGCTGTTGGAGTCCTGAGCTACGACCTTTTCAATACTGTAATTTAATGATCAGTCAAAGTATGAACCGAGGGCAATAAGACGCAGATTTATCTTGTTCTGCATCTCATTGTTCTATCATTTTCATCTCTAATGATGTAATTAATTACACTAAGATATGCTGAATTCAGCTGAGCGGCATTAAACAGACGAATGGATTTCCTCACTGAGCATCATTTATTCATTCAAGATAATCTTCCCAGCAACTGTAGTAGCCAGTAGTGACAGTATTTGATTTGAAACTCTTCAAAAAAGGATTGAACAGCCTCCCTGCAGCAAAATGAACTGTCTCAACAATCCCCAAGATGGATAACATCTGCTGGCAGCCCACAATTGCTTACAGAAATACTTCACAACTAACACACACTTTCTGAGATAAAGATTTATCTCAAGAGTTTTATTAAAGTCCCTTCCCTCCTCAGCCTCTATTCCTCCTTACCAGAAGTTGGCCTTGGTGAACTGCTCCATGTAGAGCTGCTCATCTGTGAAGGGGGCCAAGTGGACGTCGCCGATAGTGGGGAACATTTTACCTGAAACGCCCACGCAGAAAAGGACAGTCACAAAAAAAAAATAATATACTGCCAGCAACTGTTAACACAACATGAGATTAAACAACTGGAATCATTAACGTTCGTCTCAATATCCATCTAGATGAACTCATTATAGCCTCACTGTGTTAATCAATAAGGAGACAGGTTGCCAAACACTGCTACTATTCTGTGGCCTTCAGCAGTCTAACACTCAGCATGTATCCCCATCCTCCTGAGCCCCAAAACTCCTCACCGCTGGGTTTGAGGAACTTCTTGGCATGCAGGTAGCTCTCCAGCATGCGCTCGTTGAACAGCATGTAGCCCATCGGCTCTGAGATGATAATGTCAACCTGCTCGGGCAGCGTCACCTCCTCCACCTTCCCTGGGATGACGACCACACGCTCCCCTAGACGGTTGCTGTTGACCAGCACCTGCGAGGAGGAGAGGATGCTTCACTAGGGCTGAAAATGCTGCTGACAAAGGCAAACTAAGTTGCTTCCTTTGTGAATGCATATGAACAGTCAGAGAGGCTGCATTTCAAATTAAAGCACGATCAGAGTCACTGATGTTGAATCTGTGTGCCTGTACCTCGGCATGCTGCGCCATGGTGCTGGCCTCCACAGCGTAGACCTTCCTGGCTCCAGCCTGGGCTGCAAAGAAAGAGAGAATCCCCGAGCCACAACCCACATCCAGCACCACCTGGACAGAAGAGAACAGGAAGCGCACCGTCACCGCCGGCGGCATTTACAGCTGTGTTTACATCCAAACGTTGAGCATCAACTTTGGAGAGATGACTGACAAGTTTCCATTGAAAAGAAAAAAGGAATCAAATATGTTGCTGGAGAAGTTTCCCAGTTGTTACCGACAAAGATGGAAAGGAATTTTGTTGAGACAAATGTGCAAAATGTATAAATACAACTGGCACAAATATGCCACCTTTGGGTAAAAGCGACACTCGATCCATCCTCCCTCGTCAAAGTAAGCTCTCCTTAAAAGATAAGCTCCCCTTCCTGCTCATAATAAATAAGATACTATTGAGAAATGTATGAAATGTGTACTTACTGCTCTGGAATGACAAATTCTAATGAATGGAATTGTACCGTTGCTATGTTCTTACCAACAGGCGCTACGCAGTGAAATAACGTGTTTGCCCCGAGGGACGCGAAAACAATGGAGCTCTATGCTGCACAAGTGTCAATGTTTGCGGGTGCGTGATTAAGAAAACATTCCCCTGCAGGGCTGCCCTTCCATTGAGAGACTGTGTGTGTGTGTCGCTATCCTCATATGTAGAAGTATTTGCATCGCGTCTATTGCACATCACGAACTAGCTGTTACCTTATCCTTAAAGTCAGTGTGGTTCTGAAGAATAGCCCGCTGGTAAGTCCCTGTCCGAACATAGTCCTGCATCATGTTCTGTTGCTGAGAGAGGTAGCCATAAAACTGCAACGACAGAAGGAAAGAAAATACATGAGATTAAATGTTAAATATTGTACAAGCCAACAAACTAATGAGTTGGGGACATCTGAGAAGGAGACATTTCATTTGGATGTTTGGACTTTATGGTGTTGCAAAATAAAAAAAATCTATCAATACAAGACAAAACACACAACCTGAGGGAGCCTACGAACCTCTGTCTGGGTGGACTAGTATCTAATAGACGTACAGTACACTGCGATAAAAGTGAGGAATCCCACCAGATAGCATCTAAACAGACGGACATTTGCAGGTACAGCTGCGTTGCTACTTAGCCACAGTCTTCCACCTTTTAAATGACAGCAGGGCAGTCTTTCTGTGTGGATGTTTGACTGACCATTGGACAAGTAAAAAGTGCAGGACAACATGTGTTCATATTTGTGGAAATGCATGCGGCTCTTTTATCGATGTGTGGCAGCAGCAGTAACATTCCTGCTTTATGCAAATAGTTTGAAAACAAAATGATCTGATAACCTTTATGCAAAGAAGTTCTCTATATATTCAGACAGAGGTACACCACAGAGCCACTGGCATGCACGGACATGGCATGAAACCAACACATTTCTTCCTTTCGGAGATCAGTTTACTCCCTCAAAGGAGAACACAGGGCAGTAATTTACAGAGCAGATCTGTATGCAAAGGCTCTTTTAATGCATCCAGGAACTGACTTGTAACCAACTTTTTAGAAACAAAATTATTCAAATAGTGCTAAAAATAGGCTTTATTTTCCTGACTGAATATTGCAATAAGGAGTAAACTGTAATAAACAGTCAGCAGAGAACAAAGCATGCACGGTGGTAATTATTACTTTTGTCCATTCCAAAGGCAGAGCGGATTCCAAACACTTTCATGTTTGTGAGAGTCTACAAGTCTCCTGTATAATCTTCCGTGGCTTCTGTAATCTGTTTGGAGACTTGGATCGGTGTGTCGGTGCGTTCCTCTCACCTGGAAATACTGTACAGCAGAGGACTCCTCTGTTCTGTCACTGAAGACTGAGTGCTCACTAAGATGTCCACGACAATTCTTCAGGAGGTTATAAAAGGACTGAAAGTCTGAAACAGAGCACAAACACACACTTTATCAGTTCTTGCTTCACTGGAAGTTGTTCTTGTAGATCGCTTTGAGACGTGCTGTTAATTTTTCTGTTAATGCCAACTAATAGCAACTTTATTTCTACACTCTACAGGTTTATTTTCTACCCTCGAAAGTTGAAGGAGAGTCTATAAAACTCCTGTATTGTTTGTGATGTATCTGTAAACACTCAAGAATTAAAGCCAAAATTCAATAATTAATCATTGTTTTATAAACGAGACTTTCTATTTAATGATTTCTGACAACTAGCAAAAGAATAATTAAAGAAAACTGATTTAAATGTGTGCATAGTTGAGTTTATAACGAGGTTTTTCTGCACTGACCCCACCTGTCAGACTTTCCAGTTTTGTATGGTGCATATATTTGTCAGCCCACAGTGATCGGTGGAAAATTTACTCTTGAAATTCATACATTTTTAACAATGCAATACGTGGACTTTGGCTGCACTGATAACAGTTACTAGCTGACTTTAATCAACTCGCTGATTAAGCTGTTGTTTGTGTTATGAGCTGGTTAAAAACCCCAGCAGAAGACTTTCTAATATTTCTAGATCACTTATCTTAAATAGGATACGTTTCTATACGACGTAGAATGCTTTTTAAATAATTGACACTTGTAAAACCAGTGCATTGTTAAAGACAAACAGCTTGAGGAATACCACAGATGTGAGTAATTAACAGAAGAAATGAATGAAGTACACGAGATATATAGTAGATCTCTGGTGCTAACAACGTGGAGGATTAATTTAACAGCTAATCTTTGTCATGATTTATTTTTGGGATGCATGAATATGATAAGGGGATGCAAGGTGGAGCGGTGGTTAGCATCATTGCCTCGCAGCAAGAAGGTCACCCAGGATCTTTCTGCGTGGAGTTTACATGTTCTCCCCGTGCAGCGTGGGTTCTCTCTGGGTTCTCCGGCTTCCTCCCACAAGGTCCAAAATCATCCATCCATCCATTATCTATACACTGCTTAATTCTCATTAGGGTCGTGAGGGGCCGGAGCCTATCCCAGCTGACTTACGGCGAAGGCAGGAGATAGACTGGTGACCTGTCCAGGGTGTCCCCTGCCTTCACCCTGAGTCAGCTGGGATAGACTCCAGCCCCCCGTGACCCTAGTGAGGATTAAGCGGTGTGTAGATAATGGATGGATGGATGGATTAATATTATACCTTTACAACAACTCATGTGCTCTTTAATTTTCACCTGCACCTCTAATTGTTTTATTTATGGGCACCAGTGTCCCTAAACATAAATGGAAACATAGAGTCTTGTCCCACATGTTTCAGTGACTGGATTTAGGTATAAATTAGTCTTACAATCTGGTCAGGTCTTTATCTACGTCACAATTATAAACTGACACAGTCTGTTGTAGCCAATAATGCACAAAGTCTTCTATCGCTGTTAAATCAATTTATGCAAAGTAGGCTGGAACATAATGTGTGAACTCTTCGGTGAATGATGTCAACAAAAGGTTGAACTAGAGTCAAGCAGTGGAGAAAAGTAACTAAGTACACTTACTCAAGTAAAATTTGAAGTACTACAATTTCCATTTTATGCTCTTAAGCTACTTCACGACTACATTTATCCAACAGCTTGCATTTTGTTTTGTTTTTTTAAGAACATTTCACGCAATGACTAATATAACAAGCTTTTAAACACATTGTTAAAGACTAAATCAGCGTAATCCAAACGTTCTGACATCTTCCAAAAAAGCCCCAAAAGTGTAGTCAGGGTCACGTTTCAGATGTTCCAGTTTCTCACGACTTCAGTGATTTCTCCCTCGAAACGTCTCGCATAGTTTCACTTCAACAAATGATTCAACATCTCATCAAACACGAGGGGAAAAAAAATCTGCAAACTGAGAACAGATTTGTGTATCAGAAGTCTTTTTTTTTACCGTGAAGCTTCTGACAACCAGTCTCGATATATATAGAACTAACTAACTAGATATATAAAGTAGTTGCTGCTGCTGCTACACCCATGCTTTACTATTAATAATCTGATGATCTCACATATAATAATACATCAGTCAGAAGCCTCAAACCAGTACTTTAATTACATTGTGCTGCTCGTACTTTTACTTAACTAGGATTGTGTATTTTTACATCGCTGTGTTGGTACAGGATCTGGGTACTGGTTTCACCACTGGAGCCCAATGAGGGGAGCAGGACTGGTGTGGGTTTCAGCTACTTTGACTTACAAAAACACTCTGCGTTTGCCGGTGTGAGCTACACCTCAAAACAAAAATACATTTTAGAAATCTAACAATCACGATGTAATTTGCATGAAGCCAGAACTGCCTACAAAGTAAAATGAAACTGTTTAGATATTCATCAGTCCACAGTGAGACAAAAATCTCTATAAATGGAGATGATTTAGCAGAGTAGGCGCACAGATAGGACGACTCCGGCAGCACCGCGCAGAATGCTCAGTGAGGTAATGAAGCCCGGAGTAGTAGCCGACGGCTTAAAGGAAATCCTCAGATAATGGCTGAGCTGAAGCAGTTCTGTGAGGAATAACCAGCGAAGAAAAAAAAATAAAAATCCTGCTGCCAAAGGAGGTCGGACCACTTCATAAATCAAAAGGTTCACTTGCTTTTCCCACCATCGCCGAGACGCTTCAACATGTGTGCTCAATAAAGGCGCATACGACTCGAATTGTTTGTGTAGCATCTCGAGCACATTGTGTTTGTTTATACTTGTGATGTAATGAAGATCGGATTTTATGACCAGTTAATGAAGAAAACGAGGTCATTCCAGAGCGTGATTATTTATCGCCGCTCGTATGTGCAGCATGTAAGCGTCTTACAGTGTCGGTCGGGGGGGGGGAGGCTTGTGTGTACCTGCAGGTGAGGAGAACTGCAGCAGGACGCTGTTGCAGCCCAGTGTGATGATGAATGACTGCTTCCCCACGCGGCTGCACTCCGTCTCCCTGGAAACCGAACACTTGAACACACTCGCCTCCTCTCCTGGAAAGAAAGGGAGGGAATGGAAAGAGTTAGGATACTTTCATTTCCCACAAAAATTTGTTATAAAAAAAATAAAACAGTGCTTATTAAACTTTGCTTTAGTGGATAAATTCAATGAGATGACAAACATTCGGGTTCGTTGCTGATGCAGACCACAGGAGAACAGTAAGTGACGACTAACATGCACGACTCATTTGAAAACGTTCGCCGTCTTCGTTTTATTTACGTCCAGCATTTTGACACATGACAGGCGTACACACACTGCTTTCCTGCCCCTACTCACACATTTCAGCTTCAACACAACCCGCTCCTGTGTGGGAGACATGAACACAATGCAGCCTCTTCGCCTCCCTCCGCTGCTCACACAGGCTGCAGAGGCATCACCACAAACGCTGAAAATTTGTACCATTTTCGAGCCTGACGAATTAACAGCAGCGCATATGCATTGGACTCTCTCAGAAAAAGTCCTGCGCACACTTAAGTGAAACTGTCACACACCTGCTGACGCTATCTGTGTCGGGTTTGTCCCCGTTTCAGGATTTACATGACTGTTTTGCATATATGTCTCTCTGCACAGAACAGCAGGAAGACGAGGCTGAATTCAGCTGGTGTCATTCTATGCTTTTCCTAATGTCAGGAAACCCGGTGAATAGTCCAAAACCAACCATGTGTCACCGTCTCTTGGGAGTTTATGACCCCCGCCTCCATCCTGTCTGTGGCTCTCAGCCCCAAACTCAGTAGTTCTAGGGCTGGTCCGAACAGCAATGTTTGTTCTCGGATATTAATGACGAGTATCCTGAATTTTTTGGGGGGTGCGCAGGGTCCGATGGGCTGGAATTGGGCGGGATGCACAGGCAGCATTTGGCTCCTAAGACCAGTTCAGGTGTTTGGGTCACAGTACCGTTTCCGTCGGCTATTCTGGTCCAGCCCTAACTAGTTCACAGTGAAAGGTGCAACATCTTCACCACGATCACAAATGCGTAGTTCAGTTTTTAGAGTAACTTTTTGGATTTATATCCAGCGTCACTCAAACAGGAGGAAACAGTGCATTTGTTGGGGCCTATTTTCAGTATCAAATGAATCCACATTGATTTTTAACATTTATGTGAACACACAGCTGCTTGCTGTTTTGTCACTGCGACTCTACAGCAATATCTAGGGAATTATTACTCTGTGAGGTGGAGGGAGGTATGTTTTCCGTGCCGTTTGCTGGTCAGTCTGTGTTGATCCATGATCTGTGTGCTCAAAGATCCCGGCGCTTACAATGAAACCACAGGCTGAGTTTCAGTATTAAAGATTATTTTTAGCCCTGAATCCTTCAGCCATCTGCTGTACTATATAAAACTGTTTGTGGGTACCTATGATGTAAGATCTGGGTACACTACAGCTAGCTACCCCTCGGGGTCTCTGACTCGAATCGTTTGTCGGAAGAAACCCCCGACTCGACTTTGTTCCTCAGTCGACTCGCCATCAAGAGCGCTCGTATGAAAGCTCCGTGCAATAAAACAGCAACACAGAACGTTTGAGGGTTTGGTGCCATGGAATATTTTTGCTCTGTGCAAGAAAGAATGACTGTGTGCTGACAGCGGCAGAAAGCACAACTAAAACCAGTGAAAGTCATCTTTTCCAGGATTCTACACTCAAATATGCAATTTCCCCAAAAAAAAAAAAAAAAAAGGCCAAGAAATAAAACTCATGAAGAAAAAATAAGCAAATAACTCTAAACAAAATCACACAAGGAAGCTTTACAGAATCCCTTCTGTAAAACTTGCCCTGTGCAAATATTTCTCCAGGCAGGAAAAACATCCTGGTCATGCAGCAGGGCCCAGCGTGGACCCATAAAGCAGCCTGAGCTAATCCAGCGTCTATTAAGGGATTGAGAGCAGTGCTTCAGATTTAGAGAGATGCATCTTCTGGGAAGAAAGCCAGTCACGCACCTCAGTGAATTCTCTTCTTGCGCTGCTGAACAAGGGTCAAAACACTTGGTAGCAAACAACGGACACGTCTATCCTGATACAAACAGATGATCCAGGCACAGCTACTGGCAGGTGATTTATTTTGGGTAGACATCGATGGTGTTCACAAACCCTCGCGCACATATTAAATCTCATCAAACGTGAGGCAGAAATGATGTGGCAGAGCGCTGGCTGACTGACAGCTTCCCTTGGCTCTGCTACCTAATTAATTGTATAAGGCGAGATTATTAGGATAATAAAACATATCAATAAAGCTGTGGAAGGGAATGAAGAGGAGATGAGTGATGCTGAATACGTCGTGTGTTTGTGTGATGATCTAGTCAGTAGAATGATAAATAAATGGGTACTGCAGCGATTGTGTAGCGCCACAAGACATATTTTGATTTCGGAATAAAGCAGCAGAGGCTCAGATGTTCTGATTTGAAGCCTCTGTGTGTTTTCCAAGCTGCAAAAATGCTGGATCCTGCATTTCACGTGATTCAATAAGACTGTAGCATCTTTTCTGGATGATTCTTGTGTCTTCTACACGCCGCACTTCCAGCAGCCTTTCTGATATCAATCTGTAGTCTAAAGCTCAAAATGAAATAACCCTAATGACTTAATCACGGTTCTATTTGGTTGTTTTTAACAAGCCGACTTATACCAACCGGACAGTTAACCTGCTGCACATGTGTAAAGTCACTGGACTTTTAAAGTAAACCCATTTCTAACAAATAATACCTCTGTTTAAAAAGCTAAGGCTCGACAGCTTTCACACATCGGCCCGCTGACATTTCTCCCTTCCTCCTTTTACTTCTGCAATTCAGGGAGAGAAACGAGCCTTCTGTCCTGACAATATCTGGAACCTTGACTAAATGAGTCAGTGCAGCTGTCGTCTTTGAACAGAATCAACATTGCTTATTTTTCACTAAGCCGTTTCCTCTCCGAGTCTGTTCTTGCTGCCTCAGCCACGCTGTGACTGTACGAGCTCAGCGGTCACACACAGACAAATGTGATGATTGGTTCTGGGGCCGTGCATCGCGTATATACAATATGTACATGATTGGACGGGATGCTGCAACACGCCATGCTGCTGACAAGTCAGAATAAACAGCTGCAGACATCCGTCAAGGAGAGAAAATCTGGGTGTTTTTTTTAAGGCCACGTCGCTGTGGTTTAAACTTAAAATAAACAATGATTAAAATATAGGCACCCATATTTGTTAAATGCACAATTAGCTAATCTTGCTAAACTGTGAAGAGGAATTAATTCGTACTAGAATTTCTGTGAGCTTCGTGTACAGGAGCAAATCTTTCCGTTGCTTTCTCTGACAGAGTCTGGAAAATTTAACTGCAAGAAAATTGTCCTCTGACAACCGGTAACTGTGATTTGTTGTGTTTCTAAGCTTAGCCGCGGCACAAATCCATATTTAACAGGGTTTTAAGTATGATGATTTTGATTTATTTATCTATTCTGTCCCAAACTTTAGAAAAAAAAGACGGCAGGTCTCACATTATGCATGCTTGAAAGGCTTTGTCGATGCTAAATAATTTATTCTGACGCTTGGATTTGATTTTATCTAAAGCAGAACGTCTATAATGTTAATTTCCCTCGCTCGGTAGGGATAACTATTTGTTGGCGAGGGAATTAACAGAATATTTTTGCAAAGGGCCACAGCATCAGGGCTGAATAATGAATTGACTTTAAATCTAAAACACTATTTGAAACAATGCAATTAGCAAATCGCAAAGGCTGCAGTTTAGGACATACATTATGCAGTACGTCTGACCCAGGGTTTAAACTGTCGTGTCAATGGTTTTACGAATTCATGCCGTCCACCTTGTGTGACAGCCTCAGTTTAGATCTCTTCAGGTGATGCTCCGCTCTCTGTTTTAAAGCGATTACACAGTGAATATTGAACTGAAGCTTTAATAAATATGCTTCAAATCAAATCGCAGCATCTGTCAGAAAAAGAGCAATTTCATATTTTCTCCGAATCGTTCAGCAAAACGCGGCACACTTGCCAGCACCGGTTTGTCGTCCTCCCTCACAGTGCAGCTTCACCGTGACATGAAAGCATAGCCAGCCAGACATAGGTGAGTTATGGTGCTAGAGCCTGGAAAACCATCTGCTGGAAAAAAAAAAAAAAAAAGACTGACCAAAGCTGAAATGTGGTGGTGATGGAGCGTGAAAGCACTCAGAGCGAGCGCAAAACTCTGTATGAAGAGAAGTGGCCACACTGTCAAAACCACCGATTTCAGTCCGACAACAGGAGCTGGACTCTTGATGGACAGCCTGTTTCAAACACGCATCCCTTCCCGGCAATTTGTCACGTCTGAATAAACACCTGGCTCACGTCTCCACAAAGTGCATGATGGCAATCTTACCAGCAACATTTCTGTATCACTTGCAGCACAGGACAAGTCTGGAGGAATGCAAACATGGTGACGGATAGGCAAATGAGGCTTATTGATACGGGACATTTTTATTAAATGTAGTGTTCCTACCAATCACAAGTGATGATTAAAATGCTTCAACCTAATCCCAGATATCAGCGAGAATCTGCAGGTTTGACTGCAAAGCGGAATTCTTTGTTGTTGTTGTTTTAAAGAATTAACTTGGAAACTGGTAATCCTGTCATACTTCATTATATTGCACTGTGGTGAAAGCAATTAAGTACATCTGTGTGAAAGTTACCGAGCTAATACCAACAACACCAAAGCATCTGAACCAGAGATTCACTGTTCAGCCTCAGGCATGATGGGAAAACACCTGGCTCTCACCTGATTGGCTCAGAGGCTGACTCATTAACGTGATACATTTGAGAGGTTTTGATTATATTGGTCTGATTCTGCAAACAGAATACATGTTGTGCAGTTGGTGGAAAAGTTTATCATTAACTGAATATACAGCTCCAGCAGTATGTCATAGTTCTAGTCTAGTATCTATCAACACTGGACTGATTTAACTCTTTCTCCACCAAAAGTTCTGGTTGGTGGGATGTGAGGATTCCTAAAATAATATAGATGTTTCAGCCCTGACAGAATATCTGACTGATTAGTAAAAGCAGCTGTCTCGTCTTTTCTTTCCACTGTGTTTGACTATGTGTTGAAGTGTTTGGTGTGTTTCGGCAGTTTGAGAGGAAGACTTCAGCTCTCAGCGTTCATGTAAAATGGAGGCTGACACACGAACACAGATCACAGATTACCGTTGGAGCGTTGCAACAGGCGACGCTGCCATAATGACTATTGGAGACTGCTCACGAAGCGATAAATGGGTCAGATAACATCTTAATAAAATGGAATCCGATCTAACAGGATGTGATTTTTGCAGTGACTTGGAGGCTTTTGCCGCCCCTCGCTGCCGTCGCCTGCTCTCGTCTGGTTTCCAGGCGAGGTGCGGTTCTCTTTTTGAAAAACTTCCAGTCCCCAGAGCCCACCGATACCGACTTAAGTCATATAACTCGTGCACATTTCCCAGACTTCCTACAGCTCCCCCTGGAAAAGGCTTTTCCCCCCTTTACTCAGACAGCAGTACCCCCCAACACCTGGAAGCAATCTGTGCGGAAAATCCGTGGAATTCTCCTTTAACGCAAATAGTAAGCTGTGTGTTGTATCCTCTGGCTTTCTACACTAGATGAGTTCAATGATAGCTAAGGCAGGGGAATACAATGTTTAGAAGCATATCAGAAAACCCCCTTGTCCACTTCTTTACATCTTACCTTTGATGTGGTTTAAAGCACATTTGCTCATTTTCACACATTTGCTCTCACATGGAAGGATGAACTCACACATGAGCCTCCTTCTACTGAGGGATGTGTGGGGGCGACTCTCTCTGCACATTCAAACTTGGTGCGGAGTTGCTCAAAAGGTCCGCGCTGGGCTTTTTCTTTCACTGGAGCATCACAGTGGAGGAGGCCAGCAGCGCGGCCGTTTCTTTTCAGCGGGACATCCCATTGAATAAGAAAAGCTGCGGAGGAGCGATGCTGCCTCCTCACAGGAGGGAAGGAGGCGGCGGGGACCCGGCTATTGTTCCAATGAGAACAAAGATGAATGCATAAGTAATGAGGGCCCGGTCCCGCTACGCCACCTTAAACACCGAGACCCGCTTTTTGCCCCCCTCAAAAAAAAGTACAAGCCTCGAAAGTTTACGTGTTTTTTTTTTTCCCCCTCCACCATGAATGAGGCTCCATAAATGTAGAGCGGCGGCAGCGGCGGCGTCCGTCCGGACCGCAGCGCACACTGGCGGGTCAGGAGTGATGCCCTCTGCTCCGGGCTCCAAAACAATTCGCAGAAGCTAGTTCACAAGCTAAACACTCAAATGTGTGGGTCTCTGGGGGACACAATGGGAAAAGCTTTATTTAAAAATAGAGGGTTTATCTGTGTGGCGAAATAGACGCTGGTGTAACGTAAAGGGCAAAACACGTCGGATGCGAGCGGCTGCCGCACGTTAGCGCATCCCTGCTGAAGGCATTGTTTAACTAGCATTAAAGTACTCATTACTTAGCTGCCCTGCTCACTGATGGGACTAAAGCTACGTTATGTGTGCGGCGCTATATTTATGTCGTAGTCTCCGGAGCGGGGAACTTATGCGGGTGCTCAGAGTCTAAAGTTAGCAAACCTGTAAATCTCATCAGACGATGAAAAACGTTGAGTTTTAAGGTCTCCCTCGTGACAAGCAGGGGGAGGCGACGTGGTCTCTCAAGATGTGTTAGCTTCTTGGTGGCTAACGCTAACCAGATTAGCCGTGCGAGCATTAGCACTGCATAGCATTAGCGCTGGCAGTTAAACACAGGCCGACCATCCGGGGGAGCAGCGGCGGAAAAGGTCAACTCACCATTGGAGAGATTGATGAGGGCAGCGTCTTGTGAGGTTTTCACTTCTAACCGCAGGGGCTGCTGCTCCGAGTGCCGCTGTATGTCTCCGTTCGCGTCTCCGATGGAGAGGAGCCGCACGCCGGGGAACACCGAGACCGCCATCTTCGATCTGGAAGTAGAGACAGGTCGGTGGCGCTCACATCCAACCACTCACTGCTCTCTGCTGGAGGCAGGCTGGGCACCAACGTGAGAAGCCGCTGCAGCAGCGCCACCTGCCGGGTCACCGCGGCCACTGTGTAAACACCGAGGAGCGGACGGCCGCTGGTCAACAGCAGCTCAATACGTCATGGCTTCATACTAACAGGAGCTCTTAATATAGTGGTTTATTGAATAATAAAAATAATTAAAAATACTTGTGAAATAATAAATACGTATTAAAATGTAAATATTCATATACATCATCTCAAATCTATGTTTATTCATTTTTTTCTTTTCTTTTATTTAAGATAAAGTTTATCTCATAACAAAAAATAAAAATTAAATACAAAAAATACAAAACAAATTAATATTAAAATCTAAATATCCATATACATCACATCAAATCAAGTTTATTTATTTTTTATTTTATTTAAGGTAAAGTTGGTCTTACAAGAAAAATTAAACATTAAATTAAAACAAAAAAAATCCCAAACAAACTAATTAAAATTGAAATATTCATATACTTCATATTAAACCCATCCATCCATCCATCCATCCATTTAAAATCAAGTTTATTAATTTATCTTTATTTTATTTCAGATAAAGTTTATCTTGTAAGATAAAAAATATCAAAAATACTTTTTAAATAAACTAATATAAAATTTGACCTATTCATATACTTTAGATTAAATCAGTTTTATTGATTTATTTTTGTTTTATTTAAGATAGTTTATCCTTTAAAATACAAATAAAACAAATAGAATATTTTTTAAAAAGTAACCAAATAATAAATTAATATTAAAATGTTCTTATACGTCAATTCAAATCAGGTTTACTTTTTATCTTTATCAATTATTTTATATATGATAAAGTTTATCTTGTAAAATAAGCCTTTATTAATCCCTTAGTGGAGATATGTGCGATGTTACAGCTGCAAAGATTTAATTGAGATTTAAGAAATCGAGCACAAAAATAAAACTAAACCAAAATATACATAAGTACTAGTTCTAGAAATAACAGTGTTGCACATGTCAGTGGTATTGCACAGATTCTTTTATGGATAGAAACTCTATGGGTTACCCCCAGTGTTCCAACAAAGCCTACACCCACACATCTGTACATATGTATTACAATAATATACATATATGATTAAAAGAAGAACATGTGGGAAGAAAAAAAAACATCAGGAGAAAACTGGATAAAAGACATTGTGGTAATAATTTAATGTTTTCTAAATGACACAGTCGCATCTAAAGAATGAGGGTTTACATTTGGTACATTAACTTGACAGACAGCAAAAACCAAAGATATTTAGGTTACAGTCATGTAAAACAAAGAAGAAACACATTGAATCTTTACACTGAAGAAGATCAAATCAGAAAAAAAAATTTGCCTGAAGGAATGAGTCCATGATGAGAATAGTTGGCACTTAACTTTGAGTTGATTGACAAATCAATAAATGGACTCATCACTGCAGCTTAATGTGGGTTTTATTCTGAAAAACTCAGATACAGCTTCAGTGGCACAGAAAACTGAACTCATGGTAACATTTAGTTAGTTAAAGGCTCCCATTTCTGAAAAACTGGTGACTGGAATTAATATATCAAAATCAGCAGATGGTAATTAGAGTTTATTTTTGGGGGGTTTTTTTGTTGTTGTTTTTTTTTTTTTGCTCAATGCTTGCTGTTTTTTTTTGTTTTTTTTTTTTAAAGGAAATGCCAATGCAGTGATAACAAAGTTATGACTACAGTTATGATTTGTATTAGAAACATGTGGAAAATTCATAAAATGAGATTGTTCTGGGCAACATTCATAAATGAAAACAAATCTGACGGTAATCTGATGTCTTCCAATGTGACTTTTCATGGGTCCCCTTTTCATCAGACACAGACTTTTATCATCAAGCATCAACCCCTGTTGAAAATTCTACTGTAACTGAGTTGTGGGTTTTGGATTTGGTCATGAAGGCAGAATCGTAGCAGTAAAGTCTGTTGTGTAGTCCTCTGAATGTACATATAGTTATTATTGTCTTCAATAGCGTTGCACGACAGAAATCCCCATCGGAACAATCATGCATCTGAGTGTTTTTTCACTCCTTCACAGTCCTACAAAGAGAAAAAAAAATAGATCAGTTTCGCTTGCAGGGATGAGTCTTGTGCTCTACAAGACAACGGGTCAGTTGTTCAGCAGCTGCAGACGTAGAAAACTATTGAAAAAAGGAAGCAAAGGGCAAAATTTTAAGAATATAAAAACACGATTATACCAGGAAGAGAGGCACCTCAGAGGAGCACACATGACTTGGGAGGCCGGAATGGGTTGTCGCTGGAGGGCACCCCGGTGAGGAGAGGGTCTTTGTGGGCATTTTGCAAACAGAAGGTCTTCAGTTCTGCAGCGGCCTGAGAGACCTGAACAATACACAGACATGAAATGAGTGTGCAGCAGCTGATTGTGGTCAGCCGGCAGGTACGCAGAGCTTAACCCTCCTGTTACCTACAAATTCACTGGCATCTTTTATCCTTGGGTTCCATCCATCTATCCATTATCTATACACCGCCTAATCCTCACTAGGGTCGTGGGGGGGCTGGAGTCTATCCCAGCTGACTCAGGGTGAAGGCTCCTTGGGTTCCTCCAGCAATTTAAATCTCCAGAAAATTAAACTTGTTACCCAAGTTTGTGTGTAAATAGCACTTTAAATAAAACTGAAAAAAGTGTGTCAATTATTTAGAGATGTTAAACATTGAATGGGGTCAAATTGGTCCCAAAGTTAACAGGAGGGTACTAATGTGATCTAACACACAGTCCTGTTTTCATTTTGGATGTCACTAGCTAAGCTGATTTAACAGTTTGGTCATTTTGAAGGCTGCAGTGTTTAGTTTTTAGTGCCCCATTATACTCCCTAGTGTTTCTATTATTTTGTCCATTCCTTTTATATCAGTGGGGCTCGTCTAAATAACAGAAACATCTTTCTGTGTAATGCAGTACGGACAGAACATAATTAGCTTTATGAAGATAGGGATTTCTTTTTTTCTTCAGGACTGTTGCATTGGGTTGTGTTGGCTTTAGAGGGACCTAATACATTTACAACCGAGTGTATTCTCACCCTAAGGAGACACAGTTTTTTTAAATTATTATCTTCAAAATGAGGGCTGCAAGGCGGCTCGGTGGTTAGCACCGTTGCCTCACAGCTAGAAGGTCGCCGGTTCGTGGGCATCGGGATCTTTCTGCATGGAGTTTGCATGTTCTCCCCGTGCAGCGTGGGTTCTCTCCGGGTTCTTCCTCCCACACAGTCCAAAAACATGTTGAGGTTAATTGGTGATTCTAAATTGTCCGTAGATGTGAATGTGAGTGTGCTTGGTTGTCTGTCTCTAAGTGTAGCCCTGTGATAGACTGGTTACCTGTCCAGGGTGTCCCCTGCCTTCACCCTGAGTCAGCTGGGATAGACTCCAGCCCCCCATGACCCTAGTGAGGATTAAGCGGCGTATAGATGTAGATGGATGGATGGATCCTCAAAATGACCTCTTACACTCTATCAACATTTATTAACCAATCAGAAGAAGGAAAAACAAAAATGTTTAATTTCTTAATGTATAATCAAATGGGGTGAAGACACTTTAGTGATTTTGTCCTTATTCATCCTCATATTCTCCTGTTTTCTTATATTATCCAAGTATTAAAAACACCAGTGTTGGGACACTTGATAACAAACTTTGGGAAAAGGGAAAAAAATAACTCCGATCATGCTCTCTTAAATTGCTAAGTTTCAAACACACCAGGCAGGAGTGTTGCGTATCAGAAGAACAAGTTGCATTAGGAGGTGTAGGATCCAGTGTTTTTTAACCTTTATGAAAGTAAAATCACTCCTTCATTCGACCCTACACATCATGTTAATCTTACTTATGAGAAGGACTAACACAGCAGCACTGTGTACTATGGGGCAAAAAATAAAGTTCAATTATTTCCAGTCTCTTGTATGATCTACAGTTTCATTCTAATATCTCTCTCTACACAAAAACAAGAATTAGCTTTCTTATTATCAAAATCACACACCTTACCCGAGCTTGCTAGTGTTATATGTGTAAGACCGATGGAAGTCAAGGCAATGTTGTAAACATCGTAAAGAAAAACCCTACTGATGCCCTTTCTTATCACACTAGAAAAGAGCGGCTAATGTTAGATGCTTTCAAGCTGTGGTTTTGCAACTGAGACAGGAGCTGGAACGAGCTTCCACAGCTGCTTTAGTCTCAGGTTACACACTGGTGTTGTGTCCTTTTTACTACAGCAGAGGAAGCGCACTGCATTTGTGCACAATTCAAGTATTTAAATATATGAACCCTACAACGCAGCCTGTTCAAACTGCTGAAAAATGTTTTGGTTGGAGGAAATAACCCCAATGAAGTGAAGTCATGCGGGTCATCTTGGCTTGGACGGGAACACGCTGAGGATGTGGTGCATTTATCAGGCAATGAGGGGCTAATAAAACACTCCTGATTAAGGAAACTGTATCAGGCTTGATTAAAACTAAAAAAATCACAATATCTCAGCTTTTCCCACTCGTTTCTCGCTCCATCTTCATCAAGCTCCCCGGCTTCATTTAACCGCAACATAAATCCCCGAAGTGCTGCTTTAGACGACTGTTGATGAGTCCAGTTTCACACTCGAAAGAACAAAGAGTGAAATCTCAGAGGCCCTAAAACTGCTGCACTGCTTTCTGCGAGTCTCTGTGGGGAAGAGCCGATACATCTCCGGTTCAAAGCGCTCATTGATGTGACATTTATGCGCGGCATTTTCCACAATCTGTCGAACAGCATCCCCAGATAATAATCTTTTTCTTATTAGCTGAGGGTTTTTTTTTTCATAGCTACACTGTAAAAAAAAAAAAAAACACAAAAAAACATTTAAAAAAGGTGGAATACTGTAACGTTCTGTAAAAATAACTCTGATTCAAATATAATATTACAATATAATTTGATAGTCAAAAGAACAATTTTACTATTTGTAAAAAAAAAAATTGAAAAAACTGAAAATAAAAAAAATGATGTGGATGTACAGCATGATCTGTTTTTGTTTGTTTGTTTGTTTGTTTTTAAAGATAAGTTAATTAATACTTTTTTAAAAAAAAAAAAGATGTACTATTTTATTAGTCCTCAATACACATATTTTTCTTTCAAAGAACCTCAACAACAGTAAATTAATTATTTTTTTGCTAATTTATATACAATAAAAAATGGTCTGACAATAAAATAAAAAAAAGGAAAAAATATATAAATATATCAAAGTTAACGTAAATTTATGTTATTATCTGACAAAATCGGGAACATCTGTAAAATAACAGTAAATTGTTTAAAGATGACAGTAAAATGATAATTCAAAAAATACATAAATTCATAGCTACCAACTAACTTACATTTGTCCATGATGCTATAAAAGTTTGCTGATGCTCGCTAGCTCTCTATTTAAAAGAAAATGATTTAGTTTTCTTCTCTTTCAATAGTTACAGGTCCTATAATAATAGAACCTATAATACACTGATGACATGGGATTAATATAAAAACAGTTTAACAAGTTTAATTCCTCTCTGTTTCTTTAAATCTAGATTTTTTTCCCCAGTATTACAGATGATTTACAATCTCAATCAATTACACAGCTTTCCCTGGCCTTTAAACCAGCGTTATATGTGTAAAACTAGCAAAAGAAAAGCACCAAAGATTTGCAAAAATTTACAATCTCAGAATCTTAACTGATAACACACAGCACAGTCTTTACTTTGAAAACACAAGAGGCCGTCACCGCTCTGTTGTGTTTGGTTTTCCGTCCTTACAGTAACATAAAGTCCAGTCTTTGGTGTGTGTGTTTTTGCTGTTTGGACTGTAACTAATCACAAGAATTTTCAGACTGGGTTAAACTCCTCTGTGATTTCTTTATTCTGGGAGTTCCCCTCCTCCGACACAGTCTCCCAGCTGAAAACTAGCCTGTTCTAAAATAAGTCGCCGGCCAACAATCACACCAGTCACACAGCAGCACAATCGACAAAGCTATCACTGTGCTGCTCTCGCTGAGAAAAGTCTGTTTTCCTGCCATTTCACTGCACACTGCGAACGGCTTTCAAAAAATATAAAACGTAGTACTTTGGTATGAGTGTCACGGCCTGTTGGGGTAGTTTTTTTTTTTAAATGCAAAAGCTCAAATAAGGATAATTTAAGGCAGTTAAAAATAATTTAGAGGGTGTAAGAAAACACTTCCTGTTACAGTAAAATAGGTTTTGAGTGGAATAAAATGTATTAAATGTGTGTTTCACAGATTAATTAGATGCATCGTGCTCCACTTTAAAGCTCAGGATGCGCTTATGGGCAGTTTTTAGGCCAAAAAGTGATCATTTGCCAAAAATATGAACTCCCCAGTTTAAAAAAAACAACTGCTTTTATCTGTAGGGTGAAGTCACAATGTGAAAATACACAAAACTTTGGTGACAGCATGAGTGTGTCTGTAATACTTTTTTTGGAAGCGAGCAATTAAGATCAAGTGTTTGCAGTTTATAGTATAATCAAGCTTATACATGACAGGCAACATGATCATGTTGTTTGTGGAGTTTAGGTTGTCTAACATCATTGTTTACGCTGTAATCAACATGGTTTGTACATATAAAAATATAAAATAAGGAAATTGACTCATCCAGTTTAAAATGTAACCCTCATGAATGAAATCTCGTCATTCTGATGCAACTTTAACATTTCAGGGGCTGCAATCACTTTTTTGGCAAAGTGGAAAACTGCATTAAATGAGTTGGATTGGTCCTTTAAAGACACTTGAGCAGGTTAGAACCGCTGGATTGATCAGGATCTGAGGCACACAGCAGGTCAAATAAACACTAAAAGTTTAGCAGCTGCCGGTCACTTCTTGTCAACAAGGAGTTTGCAGTGAAGCTGAGCTCAGGTGTCGCTTTGCTGTTACCTTGATCCTGCGGACGCTGGCCTCCAGGCGAAGCTGCTTCACCGCCTTCTGGGCGATGACTAAACTGCTGTTGGCGGCGCTGTTGTTTGACATGACTGAGTCCGAACAGCAGAGAGAGAAAGTCCAAGTACAGTCAGACTGATGCTCAGATGCAGGCTGCGAGAAAAACACACGCTCCAGTGGGAGCTTTCAAAATAAAAGGCCTGTTGACTTAAACGGGATCAGGTTGAGTTCGGATCTTACGCTTAAGTGGCGACAAGCACTGCGAGATAAAATACTGTATCGCGAGGAAACTTATTAAAGTAACCAGTGAAAACAGTACGATGCATGATGATAACTTTTTTTTTTTTTTTTTTAGATTTGAAACTTTAGATAACACATAAAAATAACAACAACCAGTTTTGTTTAAAAAAAAAAAAAAAAAAAGTCGGTTAGTTTTTTTTTGGTCTGTTTTTTTTAAAAGACCATATTGCGAAAAATACTAAAAAAATAAAACATAAAAAAGTACTACGACAGATTTTTAAAATGGAGGAGCGAAAGCTATAACGCTACTACACTTTAAATTAAATAATTACTTTTTTAAAGGATTGGTTTAATTTATTTCAGGTAAATTTTACTTAATAATTCCACATTTATTTATTTCGTGGCCATATTTATTTATTTCAGGCTGTGAATATTGCTTCTAAGTGTGCCGTATTTCACGTCTTGAACTTTATTGTACTGTTTACTTTAAATAAATAAATAAGCATCTTCTTTAACTATGTTTCTTTCAATTCCTAATGTTGTTTTTTTGGTGATACGTTTGTACCTCATGTTCAGTCGTGACCTGTAAAGCGGAAGAAAACGACACGCGGTGGCGCTGATGCAACATTTAGTTGATTTTCAACCAACAAAATGGAGGCGAAGAAGAAGAAGAAGCTGGCGGGTCAAAGGTCAAGCCGGAACTAGTTCCGGAGTAGCTGGGGTCACACGAAGGGGGAGTGAAACCTTAAATACTTCAAAAATGCTGTTACGAGTAAGTACCTGAAGTTGTTTTTACGAACCCGTCTGTCAGCATAAGCGTCATCCTTAAATACGTATCATAGCAAATCGGTGGCGACTGTTGTTAGCGTCGTGTTAGCCTGTTAGCTAGCAGCTTGTGTAACATTTGAAGGCATCACCTCTAAACCTGTGAGCTCCGCGCTGCAGCGGTGTGCTGACAGGCGACACTTTTAACGAAAACACGTCGAGCAGAACCAGCAACATGTCACTCAAGTCTTTTTCTTTTTTACACTCGTTGCTTTGCTTGACAGCCCGTTGTCAACATGTGCTGTGTGGACATGGTGTTCTCAGGCAGGAGTGTGTTTAACTTGACAAACACTGTGTTGGAAAGAAGTTTGAAAACTCTCCACTGCTTGAATTTAACATTAAAATAAATTAGCTTAAATTGCACTTTAGTTCAACAAATCTCGTTGGGCTAAATGTTTAATTAGCTTGTGATTTTAACATTTATGAGCTGCTGATTACATGCTCAGGACTCCATAAGGAAACTGTCTCTTTTTAAGACGCCACTCTCTCCCCTCATAATATCTCAGTTTAAACCCTCATATATGTTACACAGATGTCAGTGCTTGTTTAATGTTTTTTATTAGTGGGGAACTAAAATAGAACAGTCCATATGTTATACATCTGTTATGTCAGTGACAATTGGTTCAAAAATCCTTTATAAACATGTTTTAAAAGCATCAGGTTACTTAAAAATCTACAAGGTGTATTTATGTTGGTTTCTTGTTTTGAGGTGACATTTTACAAAAGGGCTGAATGCACATGAAAATATTGAGTGATGTAACCATGACACAATGAAAAATGGTTCATATTTTATCCATCTACATTGTATGAAAGTTTACACATTATATTGTTTTAAAATCCATCCATCCATCCATCCATTATCTATACACCACTTAATCCTCACTGGGGTTGTGGGGGGCTGGAGTCTATCCCAGCTGACTCAGGGGACACCTGGACAGGTCACCAGTCTATCACAGCCAAACCAAGCACACTCACATTCACACCAATTTAGAATCACCAATTAACCTCAACATGTTTCTGGACCTTGTGGGAGGAAGCCAGAGACCCCGGAGAGAACCCACGCTGCACGGGGAGAACATGCAAACTCATCGCAGAAAGATCCCGGGTGTCCACACCGGGACGCCACCAGGGGATCTTCTAGCTGTGAGGCAACGGCGCTAACCACTGCTCCACCTTGCAGCCCTTGTTTTAAAATGTCACACAAACAAACATCTCACTTTTATCAGAATTACCTCTGAATTTAAATGTGTTGTTGCCGTACTGAGCTGGACAAACTTTGAAAACACGTTTTCCAAATCATCTTTATCAAATTATATTTAAAACATGTTTCAAAAAAGAATGTTATTTCCCTGCAGTAGTGGGTTAGAAAAAAAATCCACATTAGTTTTTATGTGTAATGTCGTACCTTTATGAAAAATACCGGTTACACCGTTTGACATAAACCAGTTAGACGACCTGATCATGTTGCTTTTACACTCAAGTGCCACCGTTTGTTGAAGAGGACATAATACATGCATTCTTAAGTTCAAAATTTGACAAAAAACTTTTCATCTTTTACAATTTTTGTCTTTTTTAAAAAAAAATTAGCAACTGATTTGGTGCTATTCTACCACATAAACTCAGTTATGCTCACCTTTTTTTTTTATGTACATAAGGCGTGAGTCTTGAATAGTTTCACAGTATGTCTGCTTAAGTTCTGTTTGCATTTACTGTGACGTGGCTTATGGTAGCAGAACTCCTTCCTTTGGTTAGCACTGTTGCCTCGCAGCAAGAAGGTCGCCGGTTTGCATCCTGGTGAGGACACCCGGGATCTGTCTGCGTGGAGTTTGCATGTTCTCCCCGTGCAGCGTGGGTTCTCTCCGGGGTCTCCGGCTTCCTCCCACAAGGTCCAAAAACATGTTGAGGTTAATTGGTGATTCTAAATTGTCCGTAGGTGTGAATGTGAGTGTGCTTGGTTGTCTGTCTCTAAGTGTAGCCCTGTGATAGACTGGCGACCTGTCCAGGTGTCCCCTGCCTTTGCCCTGGGTCGGCTGGGATAGACTCCAACCCCCCATGACCCTAGTGAGGATTAAGCGGTGTATAGATAATGGATGGATGGATGAATAATTGACAGTGTAAAGCGTCTTTGAGTGTCCAGAAAAGCGCTATATAAATCTAATCAATTATTATTATTATTATCATTATTTCTCCTTTTTTCTAACATTTTGTTTTTTTTTGTAGTTGCCCCGTTGTTGAGGTAACTATAAAGGAATCGGTCCCATCTGTGAATGGTCTCTAGCTCAAGTCCTAAGGTCTAACAAGCAGATATCTTACTTATGTTTTATTTTTGATTAAATTTTAGGGTCAATCAGTGCAAAAATAGCTCCACTAGAGGTCACTTTTTCAAAAATGCTGTGTAACTTCAAAAGGGTAGAAGGTAGATTTGTGGTATTTGGTGCAGATAAGCAGCCATGTTGGGGCTTTCTGTTGGTGATGTCATATTTGACCTTGGATAAAAAAATTAAGGTCAAACATGTAGTTGTTAAATAAAAAAAAAAAGCAAATGGACACCTCTTTTAGGTTCTTGAATACATTTCACCTCTTTGAAGTAAAGAAGCCTCTTGGATGAAGAGTGAAATATCTTTAGGAACACAAAAAAGAAGTCCAGTTGCTTTCTACTAATGCTCATAGGATTGTCATGACCTGGCTGACTGAGAATCTACACAGCTTGTTTTTTCTGTGTCTTTCAGAGGGCGTTGCACATCGGAGGGTTGACACTGAAACACAGCAGGTCCATCCATCATAGTCCCGTATGGAGAAATCCCCTCATACCCATAGTTGTGGAGCAGACGGTGAGTGAGATGACTTGAACTATGTCTGGCACAAGTAGTAGCCTCTTACAAAGGAGTGTGACGAAGGGAAACAAAAGATAACCCACAGAAATTTCAATTTAAGTTTGTGGTGTCGAATTAAAAATGAGCATTAAAACAAGCAGATGGAAATTCGCCTTGTGGCTTCAAAAGTACCCTAAAATTCTCCTTTGTTTTGTATTTTTTTTGTCACAGGGGAGAGGAGAACGAGCGTATGACATCTACTCTCGCCTCCTGAGAGAGAGAATCATTTGTGTAATGGGTCCTGTAAGTGTCCTCCTGCATGCTCAAAGTGATGAATATCACTGTTTCCCCTCCAACGTGGCTTCAGAATGATTTCTAACTTGCTCATTCTTTTGCCCCTCTGCTCAGATTGATGACTCTGTAGCCAGTCTGGTTATTGCCCAGCTGCTCTTCCTACAGTCAGAAAGCAACAACAAGCCCATCCACATGTACATCAACAGTCCTGGTAAGACAGTCAGTGAAGACACGAGCACACAGAAGGGTTTAAAGTTAAATCCATGGTGTTGAGGCCGGAGTTATGGAGTAGATTTTGGGGTTAGTGAGTTCACTCAGTGTTGCGACAGTTGTTTGCTTCCTCACCATGGTAACTTAGGCGTCACTCTTAACCTCCTGAGCAAGTTTTGTACAAGTTAACAGATCAGCATGCATAAAAACATCACCTACCGACCGCTCAGTCCTCTTGAAAAGTGCTTTTATCTGTCTCCTAAAACAGAGACAGATAAAAGCCCTGAGACATCTAACTTGTTGAGCTTATTTACCTGCTTACATATTTGTTCTTTACTTGTTCATGATTGGTCAGCTGGTGCCAAAAGACAAACAATGCGTGACAGGAGCGGGAGAACACAATATGTTTCGGCTTGTCTGTCCTTGTCTGATAAACACGATATCTCAGGAACACCTTGAAGGATTGCCATAAGCATTCACTTACACTCTTGTTTTTGGGTCCTTTCCATTACATATATCAAGTAGTAGTTTTACATTGATGAGTTTTATTAGTGCGTTTAAAGTTAGACTTTTAAATTTTCCATGTCAGAATATTATAATACTACACTTTCAATATTTAAATGGTCATTTACTATAATACAGTTTTATCAGTTTAACTTTTTACACTCTAATCCTTAGAAGTATTGCATAATAATACTGCAAAAGCAAATTACATTTACCACATAAAAAATATTGGAGGCCTTATCTTGTTATTACGACTTACTACCTCATCATAATTAAAACTAAACAAAGGGTAAGGGTAAGACCGAGGTTCAGCGCCTCCTGATTACATTTGCTCTTCTGCCTGAGATAGTCCTTAAGTATGATCATCCATCCATCATCTATACACCGCTTAATCCTCAATAGGGTCAGGTGGTGCTGGACTCTATCCCAGCTGACTCAGTGTGAAGGCAGGAGACAACCTGGACAGGTCACCAGTCTATCACAGGGCTACACTTAGAGACAGACAACCAAGCACACTCACATTCACACCTACGGACAATTTAGAATCACCAATTAACCTCAACATGTTTTTGGACTGTGTGAGAGGAAGAACCTGGAGAGAACCCACGCTGCACAGGGAGAACACGCAAACTCCACGCAGAAAGATCCCGGGTGTCCTCATCAGGACGCGAGCCTTCTAGCTACATGGCAACGGTGCTAACCACCGAGCCACCTTGCAGCCCACATTGGAAAATGTTACATTAAAAATTAAAAATGTCCAAAGAGAAGCTCAGATCTATCTCTGCAGTCAGACAGGTCACACTGCTGCCAAGTCCTGTTCAATGAGTGTAGTATACATTATCTGGTTTTCTCCTAAATGTGATATCTGCATTTCAAAAGCATGACATTTGCAGACTCATCTCATAATTATGGTTTTCAAAATATGTTCTCTACGTCTTGTCTTTAGTGAATTCAGTGCATTGTACTTCTGGGTGAAGTGATCCTCCACATGTGTGGGAGTAAAATGAGTATGTTTATATGATGACAGCCTCCCTCTCTCTCCCTCTCTCCTGCAGGTGGTGTGGTGACAGCAGGCCTGGCCATTTATGACACCATGCAGTACATCCTTAATCCCATTTCCACCTGGTGTGTTGGCCAGGCAGCCAGTATGGGCAGCTTGCTCCTGGCAGCAGGAACCTCAGGCATGAGGCATTCGCTGCCCAACGCCCGCATCATGGTTCACCAGCCTTCAGGAGGCGCCAGGGTAAGCTGGGCTCCCCAGGCCCTTTTAACACCAATCTGAAATCAAACCTGGGGCAGTTATGACATCTCAATATCAAAGAAGCAAGCTGTTTTAGTGAAACAGGGAAATAATACTGGGTGTGCCATGTGTCCAGGGCCAGGCCACAGACATCGCCATCCAGGCCGAGGAGATCCTAAAGCTGAAGAGACAGATCAACAACATCTACGCTAAACACACAGGGCAGCCACTGGAAACCATCGGTATGTTTGCACAGCTCTTCATTTGCAATCAAGTAGTGAGATGGGACACGATAAAGTGAAGGAGACCAAGACACCACTGCAACACTGCAAACAGAACGATTTGATTCCAGCTACAAGGGGTCGGTCCAGTCCAGTCAGAACAGGATACTACTGACACTAGAAATACTGCAAGGTAGCATATCAGTCTTGTTCATGAGATGAGATGTGGTTCTCGACAGCTGTAGGATGATCCAGTTGTAAGTTATACTGATTGCTCTGCTGATTATTCATGATGACTGTAGTTTTGGTGTAATCACTGGGACTCCTCTTAAAGGTCCTGCATTATATCTTGTTTTAGCAATTCACATCTTCCCACAATGTTATTTTCCAAGTTTCAGCTCAAAATACTACACAGATCATTCATTTTATCAAGCTTGTATGCCCCTGGTTGTAGTGTCTATAGCTTTTTTAGCTGGTGGTAAATAAATGCTAATTTCTCTCCACCTTTCAGAGGGCGTAATGGAAAGGGACCGCTACATGAGTCCCATGGAAGCACAGGACTTCGGCCTCATCGACCGGGTCCTGGTCCACCCGCCCCAGGCAGGCCAGGATGAGCCAGAACTGGTGCAGAAAGAGCCACCAGCAGCAGCCAGTCCCTCACCGCAGGCAGAGACTGCTGCTCCAGAGCAGGTCTCCCCCGGGACAAATCCCCCCTCCTCGTACAAACCTGAACCATGAACTCACCAGAGCAGAGCTGTCCGAGATCTGCAAGCTCCTCTTCAGGATTCAATACCTCACAGGTCCCGAGAGCAAGACCCAGCCTCAACAGTGTTTCTCTTTTCTTAAGTAGGTCTTTCTTCCTCGTATTTAGCACTGTGCAGTCTCTACAGATAGTACTGCTCTACGTACAGGGATCAGTGGTGACATGTCTTCTTAGGAAGGTATCGTTGGTTTGTTTTTTTTAGTTATTCATTTCTGTGCTCTATGAAATATAAGTCAAAGAAATGATGGCTCGTGACTGAAAAGTAGTCAGCAGTCATCTTTCTGAGTCCACACACTGCTGTTTAGAGGAGGGGAAGCCTGTTCAGACGACAAAGCCATGTCTTTCTGTAGCTACCTGTTGAAGATGTCTACTGAGGAGTGGAGAAAGCCTGTATTTGATAATTCATATTTGTAATAAATATGAGAATTTTGACCACACTACACAAAACATGCCTTTTCTTGATCCACAGTTGTCTCAGATTTAAACAGTGTTTCATCCCTGGGAACTGTAATTGTTTAAAATGTGCAATTATTCACCTTTTAAAAAGCACAAGTTTTTAGCTGCAATTTGTCGGCCATGTTTTATAGACTGGTGACATTTTCTGAGGGGGACAAAAAACAACTTTTTAAGACATCTGTTTGGCGATAGCAGTGTAATTTCAATTTTATTTACATTACTTAATATATTTATTCATTCATGAACAGCAATAAAAGACAGACACCAAGAAAAAAATATATAAACCAACTGACCAGATGATATAAAAGTTGTTCAAATGAGGTCGTTAGAAACAGTAACACTGTGCCAAAACTCTTACTGCGTAAATATTTTAGTGCAAAAGCATAAAGATAGGCACACCAGGTATTTAAGATAAAACTAAGGACCCAGTGGGGTAAAGGTGGGACCACAGGTAGACGATAACACAGCATTGGGTATCTGCTAAAAACACTGTAGATGTGAAACTAAAATTAGTCTTGGCATGATTATTAAAGTCTGCTTTATGGGATGTAACGTGTTCAGAGATACACAGAAAAGGCACATTAACATCTAAGCAAGCAAACACAATCGTCCCAGCAGGCTGGTTCATCGTGTTCCACTCACACCGTTACATACAGTATAAAAAGTTCCACTAGTTTCTCATTCACGCGTACTCACACACTCGCCCCGCCTGGTATCACATGAGCGAGCAGGTGGTGTTCGGCGAGGCGGTCCAACGCAGCCAGCCCAGATTTGTTTCGGTGTAAGGCGGGTAGCGCAGACTGTTGAGTCTCTCCAAGGCCCAGCCGCGCAGCATGCAGGCTCGGTGATGGCTGAACGTCTCAAAGCCCCAGCGGCCGTGGTAGTTACCAAAACCGCTGGCCCCTGGATGGAAAGGGGAACACTGGTCATGAAGGGCTTCTTGTTATGCTAACTTCTCACATCTTAGCTATCACATGACAACACAACCATATAAAATAAATGAATCAAAGGTTGCTTTTTCTTGGATTTGACGGGTTTCAATGTAGATTTTTGTCAGGTCATAACTTTAGTTCAACATTAGTTAATCTCTGTAATTCATAATACTGTAGGATCTTAGCCTTGATATTTAATATAGTCAGGTAAAGTTGTATTTTATGATATTTTTGTAGGTTTTTAATCCTTAATATGTAAATTACACAAAAAAAATATACTGTGGATCATGAACCCAATATTTCAACTTATTTGTTTAAATTGTTATGCCAATGGGTCACCACTTCAGCTCACCTGGTTGAGCTGGCGACCCATGTACAGGCTATAGTCGCCGATGCAGCGGCCATGTGTTCGAATCCCGCTCATGGCCCTTTGCTGCAACCCATTCCCCCATTCTCCTCCCCCACTTTCCTGTCTCTCCTTCGACTATCCTATCTAATAAAGGCAAAAAGGCCACACAAAAAATTGTTACGCCAATAGTGTATTTCTACTGGAAAAGCACAGCTGTTTTAAATGTGCTGTATAAATAACTATACCTAGACCTGACTTCTACTAAGAAATGCAGGTGAGAAGACACTTTCCAGTAATGAAGAGCATCCATATTTCCATCAGCACCACGGCTACATCTTCCAGGCTATTTCAGAGTTACAGATCAGGCTACAAATGACTTCCAATCTAAAGGTGTTCTGAGGTGACCTTACATATGCTTTTCCTTTTATTCCCATTATCCACAGGATCTCGTGCTTTATTTATGTGCACCACATCACTGAAATCTGACTCAAAGTTACACAGAAAGTTGGCTGATACACTCGGCCATGTCTGAACAACTTACAGATATCAAACCTGATTTTGTTGTAGCACCCACCAGCATCCCTAAACCCTACGGTCTGAACTCACTGCAGGTCTTATCAATATGATAATCACATGAGTGGAAGAAGCCTGAGACCAGGGTCACACCTACCTACTCCTCCAAAGGGCATGGAAGGCAGGGTCATGTGGACGATGCCGTCGTTAGAGCAGAATCCTCCGCTGCTCGTCCTCTCCATAACCTCCTTCACTGCCTTCAAAAAGAAAGAATGTGGTGTGAAACACAAGACATGGTGTTGACAGCTCAGAGGTGGAAGGCTGCAGAGTTCTGTGTTCTTACAGATGAGTCGTTTGAGAACGTGTAAAGGGCCAGAGGCTTCTCTTTGCTGTTGATGAAGTCGATGCCCTTCTCCAGGGACTCGACAGTGAGGATGGGCAGAATGGGGCCGAAGATCTCCTCTGCCATGAGGACATCGTCTTCAGGAACGTCCACCACGACTGTGGGAGCTGAGGAAAGCACAGAGACAGAGAAGAGAACACCTTCTTTTTCTGGCATTTCTGATAAAGTTAAACAGACTCAAGCCATTTAGCCTTATACATCAAAACTTCTACAGCTTTTAGACACTTACCAATTATGATTTTACTAAGGAAGCTGTGAGGATTAATGGTTTAGCTGTCAACAAATAAATAATCAGCAACTATTCTGATAAAAAAAAATTAAACGACTTGAGTCATTTTTTATGAAAAAAAAAGTCAAACCGTCTTTCTTCTCCTTAAATGTGACAGTGAACTAAATGTCTATCAGGTGTGGACAAAACAAGACACTTCAGAGCATCATCTTCAGCTTGGGGAACACTGATCAACATTTTATAAACCATGCCGATGAACACTGAGCACGCTCACTGCGTGACGTTGTCGTGTCCTCTTCTGCACATGCGGGACACTTTTGGGTCGTATGAAGTTCACACAGCAGATCACATACAAGTCGTATTTAATTGGAAATGTGAACAAACTGGCAAAAAATCAGATTTCACAAAAAAATCCAAATTGAGCATTAAGTCCTGCAGTCTGAACGTAGCCAATCTGTGGGATTGTTCAGTCAGATAATACGCCGTTATCCTGATTTGTGACAAAAAATGTCATGTCGGAGTCGGAATCCAAGGCTGTCGGTATGTTAAGGCTGTTTTCTATGGGTTCTGTTTGCTTTTCCTAAAAACCTGTCAGATAGCAAGGTTTTCGGATTGTTAAGGGTCGGATTATCGAGTCACGACTGTATCTGTGAATCTAACACCTGCTGGATTTTATTCAACTGACTCTCAAAGTGCTTCCCAACCTACCTATGTACTTGTCCTCCTGGTCGCTCTCTCCTCCCACTACAACTTTGCCGCTGGTCTTCCCAAGCAGGTCCATCAGACGACTCCAGTGTCGGGGTGTCACAATGCGGGAAAAGTCGGGACACTTCTGGGGCTCCTTGCCGTAGAATTCTTCCAGGGCCTGGCGCATTGCAGGCAATATGGCATCCCGAGTGGCCATCGAGCACAGCACGTAGTCTGGGGCCACGCAGCTCTGGCCGGCGTTGAAAAACTTGGCCCACACCAAGCGGCGAGCGGCATATTGAATGTTTACCTGACCGTGTATGAAGCAGGGACACTTGCCGCCCAGCTCCAAAGTCACTGGAGTCAAGTGGACGGCGGCGGCCTGCAGGATGGAGCGGGCCACATTCTGAGAACCTAAAAGAGAGAGATGACACATCAGCAGCCAAAGTGGAACGGGTTACACACAAACATTTCAGTGTTTTCAAATCAAGCTGCATTAGCTGAAATCTGACTGCAGATCAGTGTAATGTAGGAAGTAAATGTTGAACATCTGACATACATGCTGGTGATGCACAATATTGGATATTGACGTGAGATGCAGTGTTTCTACCTGTGTAGAGGATGTGATCAAATCGATTCTGCAGAAGGGCCTTTGTCTCCTCTGCTCCACCACTAACAACTGCAAAACAGTCCTGTGAAATCAAGAGTCCAAAACATGAATTTTTCAGTTACGCTGTGGTTGACCTTTCTCATTTCTTATCTGTTGAGAAACTATACTTTACCTGAGACAGGTATTTGGGGACGAGCTCTGCTACCAGCCTGTCTGTGGCCGCGCTGACCTCTGACGGCTTGAGGATCACACAGTTTCCTAGTCGGAGACATCGACCAAAAAATACATCAGTGACTCCGTTGCCAGTAGTTGAATTTGTGTATTTCTACAGTTGTTTGTTGCAGCTTTAAGGCATGAACAGCCTTCATCTTTAATGCTACTGAACTATTTGTTCGCATGTATAAATGATTTGACATAACTTTAATAAGGAGACAGAGCTAACCCTGTAAACAGGGCTTGCAGAGCAGACTTCACTTAAAATTACAGAGTTTATAATAAGCATTCACCCCCCAGAAGTATTCCACTTCTATTATTTTTCAAAATTAAATCATAGTTTGGCTCTTTGACAAGAATGCATTTTTAAAAAAATTCATGTCAAAGTGAAAACTAATTTCTACAAAGCAATCAAAAATATTAAATATAAGATAATTGCATAACCCCTCTAAAGTCAGCATTTAGTTGATGCACCTTTGGCTGCGATTGCACACGTAACTTGTGTAGATAAGCCCCAGTCTGACTTGCACTTCTGGCCACTGCAAGTTCACACCATTCTTCTTGTAAAGGTGTGTACAGGTAGAGGCCAACTGGTGCTAGAAAACTTCCAAGGCTGGTGAATACTTCTCATAGGCACTGTACATATGGTCACCTCAAGATATCAGAAACAGATTTACAGATTCTTGCTTCTGCTTTGCACTACTAGTTATTTTTAGTTACCTTTATTTATTTATTTTTAGCTATTTTATATTTGTATCTTGTACATTGTTCCTCACTGTGTATATTGATTGTTGCACCAACCCACCTGAACAAGTTCCTCGTATTGTGCAAACTATACCCGTTTCTGATTCTGATATCAGATATCGCGGCTGATACAGCAATTACATTACAGATCCTTACAGACGGATCTACACGAGACTGAAATCTCTCTAGCCAGTAAATTATTGCTTTGAGGTGAATCGCTTGACAAGTCTTGTTTGTGTGTTAAAGGTGGGGCCATCTGAACAACAACCTTCATCACACAAGGACCTGCCAGATCCACATTCTCTGAATTAATGATGATATTTATCATGTGTTGTCACGTTGCCTCACATGTCTTTCCGCTGACAGATGAGACTAGACTTTTCAGTGCATTTTTTCAACATTATCAGCGGATCTCATGAGTGCTGGTATTTGACATGGGTGACTCACAATGGTGAATCCACAGATCATTCAGATTATTCTGGGTGTGTGTGTGATACCTGCAGCAATGGCTCCAACCATGGGCAAGAAAAGGAGCTGCAGGGGGTAGTTCCACGCCCCGATGATCAATACAACTCCTAATGGTTGCCTCCGCACAGAACAGTCATCCAGCTTTGTGGCCTGTATGAATAGACAGAGAAATATTGAGGCTAAATTATGTAGCACCATAAGTTCTTAAAGATACAGTGTAAGACTGATCATGTCTGATTGTGGGACATTCAAGGCTGTGCCGGCAATTTTGCTGCTCACTTTGGCAGCACCTTGAAATCTGTTTCTGCTTCTTTGCTGTTTCACATAAACACCCAGTGTCTTAGCTTTTTGTCAAAGGCAAAAATAAAGATACTTCTCTCTCCATCTTTGTCATTTAACTATTAACACTTAAAGAGGAGTTGAGGTGGTATGGACATCTGATTCGGATGCCTCCGGAGAAGCTTCCTCTGGAGGTCTTCCGAACACGTCTACCTGGGAGGAGACCCCGGGGCTGACCCAGAACCTGCTGGAGGGATTATATCTCTCAGATGGCCTGGGAACGCCTCGGGATCCCCCAGGAAGAACTGGAAAGGGTCGCTGGGGGAAGGGAAGTCTGGAATGACCTGCTCCGCCTGCTGCCCCCGCGACCCGACCCAACCCCGGATAGATGGAAGAAAATGGATGGATGGGTGGGTGGCACTTAAAGGGGCATGGCTTTACACGTTTACAAGTTCAACTTACTTGTCATGAGGTGTACTACTCAAGCTGTACATAAATACACATCTCATTTTTTGCTCACTTTGAGTTCTGGTGTCTGATAGTGAACACTGACCATAACGTTTCAAAATGTCTACACCAAATGATTGTTCAATTTCTCAAAAAAACAGATACAGAAAAGAATAACACAAATAACACTTGAGTCCTATAAAAGTTTTTTTTTTTTTTTTTTTTAAATCAACACCCAGTATAAATGAATCCCTCTTGAACCTACCAGGCTTTTGCTGACATACTCCGGCTGCATCCAGCTTGAAAGGTTAGCGATGGTGACGTGAAGGTCGTTGATCACTATGTCTACCTCGGAAAGGACGGCCTCAAATCTTGGCTGATGTGCAGGCACAGCAATCACAAAAGTAGGTTAGCGCTTATTGTAGTGTAGCAGACAAGTACAGATAACATTGGTAAACAAAAAAATTGGAATTGGTGACTTTATCGCTAAATTACACCTGTCCCTCCTGTATTCTTTTTATTGAAAATGTTTTGCTTTTACTTTGAGATAGTTCTAAGAAAATTGCTACATCATGAGGACAGGAAATCCTTGAACTTCTGTCGTGTCGTTGGGAAACTACAGTACAGTGTTCATGTTTCTGTGTAGGAATACCTTTGCCAGATCTTTGTGCAGGGCCTCCAAGAACCTCTCCTCGTTCTCTTTGAGCATGGACATGAGCTTGGTCAGCTGTGCTTTACGAAACTGCTCCGGCACTGTGACTCCTGACCGAAACGATGACCGTAGCCTGTCCACAACCTGTCTCTGGGTGTCCATACTTTCACCTGGGACACACACACAGAGAAAAATAAGTCTCAGGTTTACATTAACTTGACATAGAGGAAAAACAAGAAGGCTTTCCCAATGGTGGGGACTGTGTCAGGTAAATGCTTGTTAATTAATTATCAAAGTGGCCACAGCAGTGCAGCATGAAGCCTCAATCACTGTGATTATTAAATCAACACAGCTTCTGACAACACTAATGAGCCCACATGAGCTGAATCAAGAGTAAACTGTTTTGTTGGCATGTTAAGCTTTCCTTTGCAGACCTTCCCACAATTCCTCCTGGAGACAAATCCCTGTGCAGCCCTTTCAAACAGCCATGAACTTCGGCCTGCATAATCTCAGCGTGATGACACGATACCAGGTCGTGTTGAGAAAGTGTGCGATTCTTGTGGCTACACGTTCGTGTGAGCTGCAGATGTTGCACCCCGCTAAAAGACCAGACAAGCCGGTCCATCTGACTCAGCAAAAACGAACCGGTGGTAGAACCAAATAGGAAGATATCAGCCAGCCACTTCTACAAGAACACGCAACACAAAATAACGTAAATCAAGCAGGTGTAGCTCAGGAACTGTTTCTTTTAAGATTTCAAACCTCAACCGATGGCAGTGGATTTAAGCTGCGCACTTCATTTCGCAATATTTCACAACAAAGAAGACGTATTTGTAATACACATGTGCGCCGAATTTATCAGAAGACCATGGCGATTTGACATTTGTCTCTGAGTGTATGGTTGCTCTAATTACTTGTGTAGAAATGCAAAGGAATTTTAAAAACTGGGATTTCCCCAAAGAAGGTTCGCACGGCAGACAGAGACGACGAGGCGCGTGCCACAGTAGCCACGATGTAAAACAGCGCGTGCTTTTAACTGACAACTCAAACTTTAAAACAAACATGTCGAGAGATTATTTCAGCAATTCATCTTAAACATACAGTTGCTGTGTGACTTAAAAGCAACACATGAACACGTGATTCATCTTAGCTAGTAATCCCCATTCACAATTAAATGAAGTTAGCTATTTTTCCTATTGAGTTCAGATTTCCTAGCTTACACCGCTGCTAGCGCCGAGAGCTAGAGAGCATTTATGCACAACACAGGAGGAATTTAAATTAAGAAGGAATATTGCAGTGTTTCGTACCTGTTGGTATGTGATTCGTCTCTGAAACCCGCACGTAGACACAGCTACTGTGCCGAAGATGAGGAGGAGTTAGTTTCCGGGTGTTCTGTTTTTTTTCCCCCTTCTTAACTTTCTCTGGAGCACTTGGAAGTGGGAGGGGTGTCAAGTTCGGTCGAGCTAGAAAAACTAGCCTTAAAACTTGTCAGGTGAGACAGCGTCGACTGTGCAAGTTCACCGCATCTCCTCTCCTGACCTGTCAAGGTTTATTTTATTCAGTGGTCCCCCACAGTGGGCTCTGTAGTCACGGGCTTCCATCGGTTTCACCCACAAAATGACTTGGTTTATTCGAATAGCTTTTCTCAGGCGGAGGGATACTCTCACCTCCAGCTGTTTGTGTCTGAGCAGCTGTGGTGGGGAACAGGTGCCTTGCTCATGGGCAAAGCGGACAATAAAAGGATTTCTCACTTCTTTACCTTTTATGTACCTCTACATGCGCATGCCAGTGTTCGTACCATGAAGCAGTTGATTTTCAGAACACCCTTATCTCCATCAGAGGCAAGCTCTCCCTTTACAATGTAGCTTCAAGATAGGGGTTTTATCTGCAGATGTTCTTGCAGATTCTGTGACCACGTACACGCAGGCAGCGTTCAATCACACCTATACCAGTGGATCAGCATTGATACAAAAACTTTATTCTCACAATATCAAAATTGACAGACCTACAGAGATTTGTAGATTAAAAGGAATTAAGAGAGAAAACAATGGTGAATATAGTGACTCCTGTTGGGAGTCATTACATTTCTGGTGTTTATTTGCGATGGTGCTGAGCAGCAGCACTTGGTATGTTAAATAGCGACGCACATGACGGATGGCAGTTAAACAGAAACATAAGAGCAAAAAGGGAAGGGGAGCAGGGAGGTGGGCATTTTGTATTTTATCCTGGCAGCAACAATTATACAAAAAATCAAAAACAAAGACAACATATGCATTGAAGGAATTCCTTAAATGATAAAAGTGTGAAATTTCCTACAGCTGCATATTTTGGAAAAAGAAAATAAAAACAAACACTGAACTCCTTCCAAATACTTCTAAAACTAAATGACAATGTTCATCATAAAAAAAAGAATACTACAAGGGGTGGTGAAAGTGAAGTCAGGGAAGGAGAGTGTTGTATCTACAGAGGGTGAGGAGGACAACAGATGGAAATGGAAGGAGGCTGAGAAAATGGCCATGTTCTATAGCTGAAGAGAAGTGACAACAGTCATGGGCCCAGTATCCGCCTCGCCCTTACACCTTTCACAGCGACTGCTCTGTCAGGCTTGGGCAGTACGGCAAAAAATCCAGCTCTTCAAGCTGAAGCTGCGCGACAGCTTCGCAGGGTTTGGCAGGTTTTCTGTCTAACTGCTGTGAGTTCGGGCTGACAGAACCGTCCAGCAGCAGGATGGAGGGCGGCTGGTGTGAAATGGTACCGGAGATTTCAACACATCATGGCTGTCTGCTCAAAGACTTCACAGGAAATAGTCGGCTACTGGCTTCTTGGAGGGGATGCCTCTGGTCTCTTGTGGCGCTGCCTCGAATATGATGAACTCCCGCTGTAGATGCTCATCCAGCTCCAAGATGGCTGCCACGTTGCCACATCTGGTTGTTAGAAGAGAGACATACGAAGGGTTAGGACAAACCGTATTTGCATGTCGATGAAAAGTAGTTTAAATTGTATGTAGGAGCCATGAACAAGATGAAATATAAAGAGAATGATTTTATATTACCAATAATACTTTGACATGATTTATCTTAATGGTAAGTATTGTTTGGTATTATTATTGTAGGTTATTTGTTAGGAGCTGCTCACATGGTATAGGGTGGTGAAGTTTATTTAGGTACCTGCTCACCCATGCAGTTGGTGAAGGAGAGGGTGAGCGGGATGCCGGATTTTTTGTTGACCGCAAGCTTGATCGTTGTGAGATTAATTTCGTTATATTTTGTGCACGTTATATTAAGTTGACCTTTTTTCATTATTGAACTTTTGAAAAATATTTGGATCTCAGCGAATCTTTTGTACAGCGTGTCGGACAAAACCTAGGCCCAGATTCATCCTTTCAGCGCTCTTCATGTTGGTTTTCTATGAAGTCGCTGCACCGCATGTTATGGCTGTTTTTCTTCTCAGACTTCACAACTAACATGATAGAAAGTGAGCCTTAAGTGTATTTAAATATCAAAATTTCCAACCCTTCTTTGCTCAGAAATGCCTACTTGTCTTAAAATAGATTATGTGGATAAATGAATCCAAATGCTACATGGTTCTGCATCACTGCGTATTCAGTGGATTTAAGTGGTCCAAGAAGTTGTTTTTCACTTATTTCACTGCTTGCTTCATTCATTTCCTCAAACCAAACTACTTGCAGATTGATTGTCTGGTTGGCCTGCTCACAGTCTCGTCCACAGTGAATGAAATCACATGAAAAATCAGGAATATCTGCAGCAGCTGCGAAACTTGCTGGTCAGCAGACTGGCTTACGCAACGTCTTCACGAGCTGTGTGAGGTCACAAGCCATTTTGGCTGAACTCAGCTCCCAACACACAATTACACGCAAAAAACAAAAAGAAAAGCAATCAGAAAATGCTCCAGACGAGCGTGTGAACGCCGAGGCTTTGTGCTGCCAAGATCAATTTCACAAATCACTTAATTCTTTTGTGAGTGAGGTCTGGAAAAGTATGAGCTGAACCCCACCAAACATCATTCAGGCTGATTTTCTGTCCTTCCACTGCGAGTGATTCAAATGCAGTACATAATGACTGCTGCGTTTTCTTTTTCCTTTATCTTCGGTGCACTAAGCACAGCAGTAAACATTCGTACACAGACGCCATGCTAGTTTGCTACAATGGTCGTGGAAATGCTCAATTAGCGCATTTTGGCTCCTTGAGGACTGAATTTGACTCGCCTCTACTGGATCCCATGCTGAGGGTTTACCAAGGTTGCGCATTTGTGTCATTTGGGTCTAGCATTGCCATTTATGTTTATTTACTTGTGTGAAGCATGTTGGTGACCTTAGGAAAAGGGTATGAAAACAGACTCGGGAATGCAGTCACCCAAACGCATCACAAGTGAAATGCAGGTCTGTGTTGACAAATGTACCAACTAAAGGCACGTCTGTTATCAGATCTGTGAGACAAGCGACAGAAAAATGTGGCTGAAATATATCCTGCCTTTAAAGCTTCTGACAGAACCATATCATAATGGTTTGCAAATATATATTCATTCAAACAGGAGAGACACGTACCGTAAATAGAAGGAAACTGATTTAAGGTCTGCATCTGGTACAGACGTATCAGTGTGGACTGGCCATTGGTAAAAACAGGGGGCTTTATTGGTGAGGGCTTGACTCAGGAGGTTGGAGCAGCACAGTAACGTGTATGAAGGTTTATGAGATGTCAAAACACTGAACAATAGCTTGTCATAAAGTTATCATGGGAGCCGTTTGATATTTTAACAATGGGGTGGTAAGTATGTATGTGCACCCACATGACTATTAATACAAGTTGGCATTGCAGCAAAAGTCAAACCTGTTTTTGTTGTTGTTGTTGTTTCACCTGCATGTACATACTCAGCAGGGACACCTGATGTCTGTTGGTATGTTTGTAATTGCCACTGTGCCCTTCTGTGTTTGCTGAGGTGTTGACATTTTCTCCATCCAAACAATACTTATTTGAGTCGAACCTACCTGTAGCAGTAGTTGGGTGCTGACCACACAGTGAGCACGGTCTCGTTGAAGTGCCACTTGTAGCCCTCCATGACCAGCTGGTGTGCTCGACAGATCATGTGGATGTCGTTGGCGGCGTTAAACTGAGCCACCACGTCGCTCCCAAACAAGTAGCCGGCACCTCTGGGACTCACTCCCCACCCTGTGGTGTCTGAGAGCGAGGAGAGGAAACTGGTCAGGCAACTTCTGCTTCTCACATTGCATCACTTAGAGTTTTTCTTATCGGGGCGCTCTGGTAGCTCAACCAGATAAGACAGTGCCACTCATCTTGCCAAACACTCCCTTAAATATTCAGTGCTTGAAAGTTTGTAGATACCTTCAGGGTCCGACCACAAGAGGTCACACATGGGCCCATCGTGAGGCACCTCCTGTTTTCTGTCAATGGTCCGGATCTGGTCCAGTGTCTGGATGGAGGGAGACAAGCCTCCGTGCACACAGAAGATCTGAAGGACATTGAGAGAAAATACAGAAAATAAAATTAAACTGATAGAATGACATATCAGAAACTGAGAGGCTACACAGCCATCTATCGAGAGTAACAACACATTTAGACAAAACAATTGAGCGCATTTTTAAAAAGAAATACTGGCTCATGCAGCGCACCTTGCCATCAATGATAGCAGAGAGGGATAGGTAGTCAAATATCTCAGTGCAGTATCTCCAGACAGTGACTGAGCCATATTTGCGGAGGCACTCGTCGTAGAAGCCGTAGACCTGGGTGATTTGCCGGGACTCGTGGTTACCCCGGATCAAGGTTATCCTGTCTGGGTAACGCACCTATGGGGCAGAGCAGACGAGCATAAGGACATTTCCAGATACGTAGAGCCTTTAAGCACCTTGAAAGATTAAGAATTGTACTTGAGAAATTAGCATACATCATTACAGGCCGCCCACAGGCGGTTCTTTATCCACACTGCTTTCATCTGATCTCTTTTTTCTGACACCCCACTCCTTCAATCCTTGCCAAAAAAGGTGACTGTCATGGATCAGCAGCAGACAAAAATGAACGTATACCTTAAGAGCTAGCAGCAGCAGAAAGGTCTCCACACTGTAGAAGCCTCTGTCCACAAAGTCGCCCATGAAGAGGTAATTTGTCTCCGGGACATCCCCACCAACCTGCCATGTGGAATGATTTAAAAACAAGTAGGTTAACAGTGGCGAACTGCAGATTTGATGTAAATCAGTCATCCAGTCAACATCATAAATAATGCAAGCACCATTCTCTCAGGGATTGGACCTGCGTCAACCTGACCTAGCATCAATTTGCCAGGAGCGCCGCTCACCAACACACCCACATACATAACAACAGAGTCTGTCGACCAACTCCAGCTGTCTTCCAAGACTCACAATGCAACGAGATACAGCTTATACATCTTATTTATCAAAGTGTCAGCGCCGATGTGTTCACCCTAACGGCAATTCTGATTAGAAAAACATCCAAGGTACAGAAAAACATACACCTCCTCCTTTTCTACATTGTTCCGCATGATTTAGACACAGATGAAATCCAGCATCCAACAAGCAGGATGAACAATGTCACTGAAGCCAATTCCAGGCAATAGTGATGTTTTCCTCCCCATATTTTGTGTCTGCCACAGCTCTAAAATATATGATAATGTGTCTTCTTAAAACCAGTCTTTTAAACAGTTTATGGACGCACTCGTGTGGATTTCAGGGCAATGGTTCGAGGGATTATTTTTAAACACAACTGTTCCTATAAAAAAATGCTAGAAGATGGGGACAGACTAAACAAACCATCTTTCAGGGGTTGTGTTAAGTGCTCTACTGCATCTGGATAAAGTCTTGGACGTCTACATCTTTCCTGCACCAGTCAGCTAGAAAATGTAACACGCTGACAACTTTAAAAAAAACAAAACAAAACAGATGATCAGGTCTGTAGTGAGCATTATGTAAAAAGAAACTTACTCTAAAGAGCTCTTTCAAGTCATAGAACTGACCATGTATATCACCACACACCTGTGAGGAAAAACCAGAAGAAACATGATTACCACATTTGAACTTCATTTCTGAGCAGACAGGAGCCAATAGATATTACTTACCGTGACAGGAGAGTCTACTCTCTGGACGTTGCTTTCTTCAACCAGAATCTCTCTGAAAACACATCCACACACACGTATAATTACTTCATGTTCCACTACAGCGGCCTCACACACAGGAAGACCCTCTGTATTTGTATCTTAGTTCTGCTGACATAGCAACTAACTCTCATAAGCACCTCATTACGGTGTTTAAACAAGAGCAATATTACAATTCCTGAATGATCTGCCTCATCTCACAATTTAAAACACTTTCGCACTCTTGATAAAGCGACCACAATGTGTAACTCGCACAAAAAAACTGAAAACTGTGACCTCTTGGAGCCACCTGTCAAAGCTGACTGGGGAGGCTTTTTAATTCTGCTTTCAAAATCTGTATTAAAAATATTACCGCTAAGAGCAGGCAGAACACGCTCTCAAATTTAAGGTTGGACTGATAAATATCTAGGCCCAGCATCCCAATCTGAGTTACTTGATTATCCGCCAATATCCAGGCGCAATCCGATACGTAATAAATACTGCAAAAGGGCCAGAGTACATAATTAAAGCACATCACGGAAGTTAGTTAACAAAGACCAGGTGAGATATGAGTCTATTAAAAAAACGGTGACCTGTATCACAGCCTGGGTCCAGGAGTATTTATCGCAAATATTTTGCCAGATAACTATTGTGTATCTGTCTCCTTGTCCATTAATAACTGGCACCAGCCCTGATAAAACCACGGTCGACCACGACAAGGTAAAGTACAAAAAAAAATCTACTGAAACAATACGATGCTCTAATTCTGCACAGATGAAAATGTAACTAGGCTGCAGAAAGTCTGGGGAATAAAAGACAAGAAAATGTTGGCATCTCCCGACTGTCAATTATGCAATAAAAAGACATAAATTAACCTCCTTTAAAAATGTGTTGACTTCATGTATACAAGCACTATATAAAAAACAACAACAACATATGATTATAATTAATATGTAGTGCATATTGTGAACAACTACATAGTAACTTAGCTACCTCAATCAATGGATGTATCATGCGTGAATTAAATGTCAAACTCTCCATACATATCTACGATCTCTAACACTGTTTTCTATGTCAGAATCGAGGCCAGTTTGATTCATTACCTGGCTTTGGCACACAGTGCTTTGACTTCATTTTCTTTAATGAGCTCACAGCGTCTGAGCTGCTCTATCTGTCGGTCCAGGTCACTGATGTCCCCCATTGTCACACACATAGGGAGAGCTGCTCACACACTTTGTTCACACACTCCTCTTCTCACACTCCGGGTTTACTAAAATATCAGCCTCCCTTTTCCTCCAGGCAACGGGGCAGACAGCCACAACAGAGTCCCTTCCTCGAAAACAGACGGGGCCCTTCAACTCCTGAACGTCAGGCTTGTGCTGTGAGGCTGTGCAGAATAAGGAACTGTCGAGGAAAAATAATTACTGTTAACAGATTTAACCACATTTGAAAGAAATCAAAAAATAAAAAATAAAAAAACAATAACATTCATGTAACCGGATAAACCTGTTTAGTTACTGTTTGTTATATAACAAGTTGAACTTTAGTTCTCGTAAAATGGATATTAGCTAAGCGATCACGTCATCAGAACTGTTTCAAATTATTATAAAATATTAGCCTGTTTACACCAAGTCCAGATGAACAGAGCACATCAGAAAGCTGACGGTCCTCGTCCAGGAATGTGAGGCCTAGGGGCGTAGCTTAACAGTAAGCTAACCATTAGCACGTTAGCTTACATCACTGCTAACGACGTCAGCGAACAACTGATTGTTTGATAAGTTAGCCAACCATTTTGTTTGGGAATCTGTCCTGACTGTTAGCACAAATGTCTGCCAGCCGGCGCCGAACACCTACACACACTTAGCGTGCTAACGAATTGTTAAAGCAGGTTAGCTGACGAAACGCTGTATGTTAGCGGGCTAACCACGGCTGTCGGGGCACCAGGCTAACCAACTTAAAATACGGCGTCAGTGCTGCTCGGCTAATTTCGCTAGCAGGCTAGCTAACGTTAGCGACACACATTCAAACGATTCGCCGCTAAGTCGACGAAACAAAAGAAAGAGTGTTTACCGTGAAGCGAGCGATAGCAGAAGTGCGAGAAACAAACACCACTATGTTTCATTCCGCGGATCGTGGGTCCTCTCGCCGCTCACCGGCCCCTCTTCTTCCCCCGGTGTCGCCTTTGCCGGTTCACTCCTGCCGTGCTCATGAACACCAGCGACTCCACTGTAGCTTCCGCTGTAGTGAGCGCGCATCGCTCGGTCCCGACAGGTGCTGGTGACGAGCGGCAGCGTGGAGAAGTTCACAGTCCACAGATGACTTCACTCCACGCTGAACAAAATGAACCACCCCTGGAAATTCAAACATTTATCAGCCCACGGGGTTTAAACTGTTTCGTGGTGGTGGAAAGAGCAATACTGTTCTTTACAAGGCAAAGCACGTTTGTTTTTATCGGACTTTTCATACAAGAAACAAGGTTCAAGCACATTACATGAAATATGTAAAATAATAAAAGCACACAGAATAAAAACAATAAAATAATTAAAAGCTAAATTTAATTTAAAAGAAAATTTAAATCAATAGTGATCAAGTAGAGGGTCTTTCGCTTGGATTTGAAAGTAGTTTTCTGGCAGTAATGTGCAGTAATCCAGCATTCAGAGGTCTGAAGTGAAGACAATTCAAGGATGGTTGAATAAAGACATTAAAATGCTTTAGAATAAAGGATAAAGAGTAAAAATGTAGTGCAGCTATTGAAATCTGTGGCTGAAGTAAATGTACTTTTTTGTCTTATGTGAACTAATATTTTGGGGTTTTGCTGTTGGGACCAAGAAACATGAACGTATCATCTCTACTGTAAGGATATTGTAATGGGTATTTCTCACTACACAGCTACTTTCTGATGTTTTATGACCGATGAATAGATTGATCAAGAAAGTAATTACCCAGATTAATTAATTGGGAAAAATAAATCATTGGTTGCAGCCATGATCATAACAGCAATCCTCGATTTTATTTCAGAGCGAATGGTTGTGAATGAAAATGTAGGTTATTTTTAGTTTAAAGGTGCCAGGCAGATCGCTCTGACTCACAGACACCTCAGTGTGTTGTTTGAAATGACTAGATGAAGTAATCACAGCCCAATCACAGTATCCTATATATATATATATATATATATTTCATACTTGATATACTTTCCAGCGTCTGAGCTCACTCAGAACCAGCCCCCATAACGTTTATTCATACACTTTAAAAACCCAGGAAAATGAATTACACCACTGCATCTCCAGTAAATGAAAGGTAAACCCCATCATTTTATTCATGTTAAAGTCATGATCAATGAAGCACAGGCTTAACAAATGATATCGAGTCGTAACAAAGTGCGGACATTTCAGCAGCATAACGTGGTAGTTAAAATGTCAGTAGGAATGTGCACTGTTCGAGACATGTCTATAAATTATCTACTTACAATGATTTTTATAATGTGGCGTCGCATTTTTAAGCATGTTCACTTCCAATACTATAAAACTTCAGAAAAGGAAGGATTTTGGAATGAAAAAAGCAAAACCTTGAACAAAAACAATTGCACTAGTTGTTGCAAAACCTTTCCAGATCGCTACAATACTGTATATAAAACGTGAAATCATCCATCCATCTATACACCGCTCAGTCCTCCACATGCAAACTCCACACAGAAAGATCCCGGGTGTCCTCACCGGGACGCGAACCGGCGACCTTCTTGCTGCGAGGCAACAGTGCTAACCACCGCTCCACCTTGCAGCCCCTACATGAAATCAATCCAGTTAAAAAATACTCTGGTTCCCTTTGACGCAAACGTATAATCGAAGGCATTCTTGGTGACGTCAGTTAATGGCCTGTTTCAATTGTACCAGTGATTGAAAAGCAAAACATACAAAAACAATACAAGTCAGTTAGTTCAGAAATAACCTGAATTAATTTTGGAGTTAAGAAGGCACCATAAAAGTTTTATCTACAAGGTTCTAGCTGTTGTATTAAAAGAAAAGAATTCCTTCAGTTCTGACAGGCAGCTGTGTTACTATAAGTTCGACTATGTTAAGCCAAAAATGATGTTGTAATGTTGCTCCAACGGTCAGTAATCAGTGGTTGGGCTCTTTGGTCGTGTCACAGTATTGAGGACATAACATTAAAACGTGATAATGGCACAACAGAGATCCCATGTAAACAGAAATAAAACATTCAAAACAAGTTAGAATCACAAGTGTCGTCACCTGAGGACTTTACTAACTCTCATTTTAGTACCATTTTTGGTATTTTTTCGTATAAATTCAGCTCTGAGTGGCAGTCAGAGGGCAACAGTTCTCATTCTGAAGACTTCATTATTGCAAATAAATGTAAGGTGAGTAAAAGTGAGGTCAGTAAAATAACAGCTTTTATCGTAAAGTTGACTCTAGTGTTGGTGTCTGCTGTCGGTTAACAAGAAACCCTTCAAACTCTATGATGTGGTTAACCTGATGGTGTGTTTGGGGCGCGGTTGATTCCCAGCCAGATAAGCCTTCACTGGTATGCATCTTCAAATACTGCAAATGCTAATCAAACACTATGCTAAGCACCAGTCTGTCATGCCATTCAGAGGTAATCCACAGGAAAAGCTGTTAATGTTCTTCTTATTATGTCTCCGGGTTTGTTTATTTTACATGTGAGGTGTTAATACTACACTTGTTCATTTTGCCAAGTGATGGCTGCTGAAGACTTGAACATTTCCTGTCCTGCTTTCACACCGAACCAGAAGCTTTTCTTGTGAAGGAGCTGCAGAGAAAGTATTATGTGCCAGTGTTTCTTTTAAAACAACATTCTCTGCATTGTTATGACAGCTTAATCAGCTTGTCTGACTTCTTTCAGGACATCATCTGATAACTGCCACTCACAGCATGCGTACTCCACGACGTAGTGATCAGCGGTTGATGGTAAAAGAGATGAATTAATAAGTCGGTCCACATCATTCTGTAAGGTTCACTTGCTGACGATTATAAATCAGCATTATATACAGTATGTGGAATCAATGTTTTTACGTAGGAGTGAAGTCTGCTTTTTTTTCCACATCAGTCTGTAACCCATTTCAGATTAAAAAATAAATAAAAAAGAAATCCATCAAATGCAATGCACCCACGTCTTGCTTATTCATCCTGCTGGTCAGTGCGTGGGCTCAGTCATAGGGAACAGAAGTATGTGTGGACGGGGAAGGCTGCGAGTCCAGCCAGAGCTATGCCCAGACTGTCTCCTACGCTGGCAGCAGCCATAGCGAACTCCCTGTATCTGTCCTCAGTCTGTGGGAGAAGAGAGAGACGTCAGGGTGGACACACGCTGTAGAAGCCGATAACGCAATAACGGCCGATAGCGTAATCACTGGCCGATAACGTAATAAAAATCTTGAACTGACAATGTAATAACTTGCCAATTACATAATAAAAGTCATGAACCAATAACGCAATAACTGGCTAATAGCGTAATAAAAGTCATGAACCAATAATGCAATAACTGGCCGATAACATAATAAAAATCCTGAACCGATAATGTAATAACTGGCCGATAGCGTAATAAGAGTCATGAAGTGATAACGCAATAACTGGCTAGTAGCATAATAAAAGTTCTGAAATGATCATGTAATAACTGGCTGATAACATAATAAAAGTCCTGAACCGATAACGTAATAATTGGCCGATGACGTAATAAAAATCCTGAACCGATAACATATGAACTGATTACCTTATCAGCCAAAAGATACTACGTTACTGGTTCAGGACTTTTATTATGTTATTGGCCAGTCATTACAATATCAGCTAATTACATCTTAAAAAGTGCAAATTTAATCCGTTATCGGCCGTTGTTACATTATCTGCTGTGATTACATCACTGGCTTC